GTGTTATTATTAGATATTATATTAAGAGATAGAATTTAGTAGACGGTTTAGCAAAAGTATCTAGCTAAACTATATATCTAGCTACCTGTAAGGTACGTTACTAATAAGAAAATCTTTTCTATTAATCTACGGTTAATAAACTTTTCTTAGCATTACTTAAACTATATAACTTTTTTTAGTAATTTACTATAGACTTTAATAAATATAGTAAGCTTTATTATATATTTTAATACTCTATAAGAGCTAAATATTCTAGAAATTATATAAAAAGTTAAAAAAATTAAGAAAAAAAGTATAACCTTAACCTACATTACGTCTCTATATTATATAATACTTAACTATAACCTAATCTATATCTATTTGCTACTTTGCTTTTACTTTAGCTAGTCTACTCTAGGCTAGTATATATGCTAGCTTAGTATCTATACGCCTTATAGTATATATAGCTAGCTACTTTCTTTTCTTAGTAGACTCTTTATCTACTATTCTATCTTTAGTTAAATATAAGTACTTCTTATTAATCTAAGCTCTCTATGCCTGCAGTCTACCTTATAGTATCTAATAACGCTATATTATCTGATATTCAGCAGACATCTAGACGCTTTAAAAGTTCCTCTTAAGAATGTGGGACTGATACCGGTACTCTTTTAGCGTACCAAATTACTACGAAACCTAATTATTTCGCTTATCATGCACACAGAACGCACAGAACGCACAGAACGTACAAAACGACTACGGGCCTTGTTCTCTACCTCACTTTTCTATCAAATTGACATAACTATGCCCGGCTTCATTCTGTGGCCCTTTCGACGCCAAAACTCCCGCACAACTCAGGACGCAAACGAGGCACACACTCGCCCGATGGTTCAAACACCCCAACCCGCGCCATCGGAGGAAGCGCCTCCAAAGTATACCACCATCGCCACAAATCTTGCTAAGTTGTCCATCTCGGAACTGCCCTCAGGAGACAAAGCTCGCCAAGCGCTACACGAGGTGGAATGGCGTGGGCCAGCTGAGGGTGCAAAGCCACTATGCGCAAGCGTGCGGTTAGATCGCTGCATCATAGAGATTATCGCCTTGACATTCCACGCCGACTTCGATGCGCTCAACGACGCTTTGCACGGCGACAACGGAGGTTCGAATACGAACACCATTTTGACGGAAAGTGAACGTACAACTCTGACCTCGCTATCGCATGCAGTAGCCAACGCGAAGAGGTGGATGGATGCCGAGTGCCCTATACCTGCCAAAAACAAGGAATACCTATTTGATGCTCTCATCAAACCTGGCGCCGACAAGTGGTGCTTTGCAGATTTCACGTTGGATCTGTTCGATTGGTATGGCGGGACCTTGTCTTATCCGGTGCCATGGGGTCAGACTATTCCAGGCATCTTTGCCATCAACGACGATACCCGTTTACACTTGCAGAAGTCCGAACCATGTGAAACTACCGACTGGGCTGTGGATCAGAAGCCCAAGCAGTCGATGGAAGCATTCCTACAAGCCATTCACGAGTGTAGTCCTAATAAGAAGGTGCAAATTGTGCTTGAGCAGGCATTCGAGGAATACCGATCACGGTTTGCGTATGGTGCCGTGAAGAAGTCGGTGACATATTGGCCAATCAGGAAAGGCTACACTAAACTCTTGGAATTGATTGAAGCAGAAAAGAAGAGGCCAGGGAGAACTGAACGATGCAGTAAATGGCGATGCTTTTGTGCACAGAATGAGTCATGCTAAGATTAGGATGATGCAAACCTGACAAAGTCTGGGACGTTTACTTAAAGGGGAGAAGGTAAGAATGGGGTAGCTCGAGTTGAGCTCTGTTTCGACTAGTTATGAGTTATGGGAGACGTGCGAATTTAAGATGTGAGAGCGGACGGGCTGTTTGTAAAGCACCAATCCCGTTAATTATTAACCACGAGAACTAAAGGCCTGCTACCGTCTGCTCAAACACGCAAGAGCATTACATACAAAATTTGGAGAAGACTGTATCGCGTGACTGCCTTCCATCTGTGAACGAATTGAGAAATGACGTATGTATGGAGCAACATTCGCTATAGGAGTAGTCTGATACTGCATCCGCTTTGTTGTGATCGAGAACCGTTTCCATATCTTGGGAACCCTTAAGCGGAAGTGATAGATGGATGTCGCTTTTGCTTACAAGTTTAATCGCGTACGAGCCAACTGTCCGAACTCTATCCTGTGGAATAGTGAATTTTACAAGCCGCAAGACTGCCACCGCATGTGAGTATATGGAAGCGCAGAGCAAACCATTGGACACCTTTCGCCGCCTGTACCAGATAATTATTCATCGCAACCTTGGTGTGCCTCTACCTATTCTCCTCGAGGAAAGCGCCCTGATCCATTGTTGGGTTCTGGTCTCGTCATCCCAGCGTAACCTCGATCGGACTTGTTGCGTAAGTTTCCCATATTTGTTTTGGGACCCAGCCACATGCTCGCCTACATGCTATTCCCTCTTTACGCTCGATCCGAAAAACATTGTAGAACTCGCATCGCACTTCTTCCAGCTTTTCATGATTTTGAGATGGTGGGAAGCTACAAAGCAGCTCCTGCAACGATCCCTTACGGCCCATACGGTCGAAGAATTGTTGTCGAAAAAGATGATGAGGATCTTGTGGTAGTGGTGTTGCCTGTCTCTGTTCCATGAATATGTTGCGGACTACCATCCAGCGGCCTTCCTTCTATATCAGGCTGTCGAACCAATCTGCATCATCATCATCATCATCATCATCATCATCATCATCATCATCATCATCATCATCATCATCATCATCATCATCAGGGAATCTTTTCCTCGCCTGCTCATCTATGCGTTGAATAAGTTTCTGCACTGAAAAGTCTCCCCTAGGTATCTCTCTGCTGAAAGCCGTTTCAATGTCGGAAAGCAAAGCTGCCTTCCCTGGATCGTTGATCCAAGAGGATTCATAAAGTATCAGATCAAAATGATCACGATCGCGATTATTGTACGTATCCGTCAATGTCTCGAACACTCTCTATTCCATGGATGCCTACATGTCCTTTGCATTCGCACTTCCTGTTGAGATCGCGATGAGTTCAATTTGTGATGTTCTATCGAATTCTTTCCAATTCGGTGCCCTAAGCAAGCCTGCAAATGCACCATTGGGTGCATGGAGAACCAGGATAGGGCAGGTCTCTTCCCTTGGACCGCGCGCAAAGACGGGGTTCTCGAAAACTGGCATGTGTGGGAGGCCATCTTGTTCGGCGAGATCTTCTCTTTCTAGTATTGTTGCGACGTGAAAATAAGCCGCAGTGGTTGTACATGCCAAGTAGTTCGGTGTGATTATATGTCTCTGTGTTGGCAAGTCTTGCTCTACCAGTATTGGCTGCCTGAACTGTACCCTCTCATCTTTAGCATGCACAAAGATTGTATCCGCTTCTTGCGAGGTTTCGTGGCGCCTCCAGCCTTAAGGGATGTCAACATCTGTGGAGAAGGCTACCTATCTGTCAAAAGAGGCTCTTGGACGCGACTGGATTGGAGAGTATCCAAGATCTGCCAATCAACCAGGTTCCTCGTGCTCCAGCTTCCAGCCACCTCTCGACACCGATTTGCGCCAATGTAGGAAGGCCTGAGCGAAGACTGGTGGGGTCGACCAAACATTGCCACCCGCACCATGCCCATGATGGTAAGCTGGAAAGTACCTCACCACCGTCGCATCGATCTACACGGCGACTTGCGGCTCCAAAGGGCTGTCAAAGAAGAGTATGGTCCAGAAAAGCACACGGCAGACCTGAAATGAAGCCTCCAGGGAACGACGGTTCCAGTGCCTCAAGGATGGCTTTGATGCCTTTAAGTGTATCTTGTGGACAGCTGAATGCTCGACCGTTATAGGGACAGATTAGATCAAGGTAAAGATTAAATTTGGGCCACCATCATGTCGAGAACAGACTTCGGCTCTCTGTATCGAATGCTTTGACATACGCGACATGACCAGGGTGAAGGTCGACTGCATCCCATACGGAATAACGACAGTCCCATAGGAGACCCTCATCAACAAAGACGACACATCTATTGCACAAAATCTGCTCCTGGTAGCTTGAGATGTCAGCATTTTGGTAATGGTATCAACAAAGAGAAACGTAGGTCCTGAATGTATGGCATTGGTTTTTCTTCAACCAATATGTCAGACAAGTAGTAACCCACCAACCCCGCGAAGCCCACTTGGATTGCGCAAGACGTCCATATCGATCACGAGTAATTCTGGCGTGGCTTCTTTTACTCAGCTCTGGAGGGGCATCCCCCAGCCCACGTTCGAGCGCAGGAGCCTCTTGAGCCGAGAACATTGGCCAGCCCATTGTCGATCTCATTGCATACATGTCCTCCGAAGCTGCTGCAATTATAGTCAAGAATGCGCTAGCATAGATCTTGTCCATTACCGCGACTTGGCTTAGCGTTCCCCCGTCACCCAAATTGTTCTGCACGATGCAAAGCCTGTCAACCCAAAGATACCTCTCGTTGAGGGCCAAAATAAGCTCGATGGCGTGCTTTATCACGGCTGGTATGCGTTGCTTATTTTCTTCCCGCTGAAGGTACCCCGGATTCTGTAGGTCTACCAAGGTTGTATCGTTGAGAAGCAAAGTCTGTGGGAGGGAGAGTGGAGCAGTTCGGTCATTCTTGACGAAGAGGTCCTCGTCGAAAGGCTGCATCTGAGGGTTATCAGAATCGGCTCGAGACCAAACGTAGCTGAGAGCCACGTAGCGATGCGCAGAGATGCCTGGCACGATACACATCTGGTGCGTATCAATTAGCCATCGTAATACCTCTTCGGGCTCCCTCTGTATCGCAGAAGTTTGCACACAAAAGCCTCCATGCAGCCTGCCACAGGACTTGATCCATTCCAGAATTTGCGTGACGTGTTTCAATGGGGTTTCGCTACTTTGGTAGCTAGACTGCTGTCTGGAGTCCATCAGATAGACACAATTTGGTGATCGTCTCCTGAAAGTGGTGTATCGGGTTCGATGCAAGTGTACTGTTTGATGGACTTGTATAGATGGCCCCCAATATCTTTTGCCTAAATCCTTTGGCGATGTTCAGCCAGGATGCGCCGTGCAACATGGGTCTGAAAATTTAGGTTAGGTTACCATTCGCATAGCCGATATGATCAAGATTAAGAGCGAAAAGGGTGAGGGTCTATAGTCATAGGAAATATCTGCCCTTGCACTTTGCGTATCACAACTCTGCTTCCTCCAATTACCGACTATCAAATGGTGGCTACGCAACACATCCTACATGCGGAATTTTCTTTCACGGGTGCCAGGAAGTGGTCGAATTACCATTATGTTTATCAACTTATGACAAGAGTTACGGTCAAAATCCTTAAAGAAGTAGATGTAGTCACTTGAGTCAATATAGTCGGCTGGATGAGTGTTGTTGTCGCGCTTGAAAAGGGTAACGGTCGCTACATCAGCGATCTAAGTAATAATGACAGTCGTGTCAGAGCGAATGCCTGAGGGGGCAAGAGCAAACACAGAGCTCGTCACTGTGGTAATGCGAGAGGGCTGTCCATTGCAACTGCCGAAATCTTTCTGGCACTTCTTCGCAACTTCGCGGAAGTCCTTGGTGATATCGCAGTTTCTAGACACTGCTGTTCATAGCCCAGTGATCTCTACGCGTCTGAAGCTAGAATACCCATACTGGGAGCAACAGTCACCTTATTCGCTGCCCTGGCGCGTTGTGCCTCCAAAATTCTCTTTACAACGCGCAGTCAATGACACAAACTGTTCTGACGCAGCTTCAACACCTAAGGCAGCGCAGAGCTGAATGATAACGACCGATGTGAAGGGCATGTTGACGAATTAGACTCGACTGTTGTGGGAATGCTGAACTGGAGTCGCGTGCAAGGACAGTCAGTTTGGCCTCCTGATATACTCCATGCTGCCGCACGCACTTCTTATGATCTGAGCAGAGACTAGTGAAATTATCTGGGTTTGCGCTAAAACGTTCGATAGTCTCGTTGCTCTTGTTCGTCTTCGGATATAGAGGTTCTCGAATCTTGATTTTCGTAATTGACTTCCTATTGAAATAACATCGAAACTAGTAAAACTATGGAAATTGTAAGTCGCGGTGATAGAGGCTAAGTTTCGCAGATTAGGATTAAGCTAGCTTTTAGAGCACCTAAAGTCTTTTTAGTTCAGGAACTAGAATCTGTGCTGAGGAAATACAAGCAAGGCGCGCCCATGTCGCAGAAATTCTCTTTTTAGAAGATCTTCTATTGATGAGAGGGACGAGTTTAGGCCGTGACCATCATTACAGCGATCACAACTAGAGTTCGATGTTTTAACAATTATACTCTTTGCAGCGCTTTTCGTTACATCATTTTGTGACCTTCTGTTGGGGTACTCCCTAACGGTGTGATTATAATCAATTACCAGTTATATGTCTTGCTAGCTCTAGGGCCTTGCAGCGCTAGACACGGGCAAACATAAATACGGCGCTTTTCTACTGAGGGATGAATTCCATGCAGGAATTGAGGACTCTATCCTTCAAGGGAACTAAATCAGCAATGGTGGTAACAGACCATGGCTAAAGGCCATTGCACTCGACTGGCGGGAGTTGAAACAGCTGTGTGAATCATGATGATCTCTACAAGGTTGTTGGACGTGGCCATTCGGGATTGTAAGTGCCGTTGATACTGGCGCGAGTAAGAATGGACATCACGCTTGTTGAGAGAGGTGAATGCATCTACCTCGATTGCTTACTGGTGTCGTAGATGCCGAAGATGGTGGCGGCGTGTTGCGCTCATTAGACGCTCGATCCAAGTTTGACAGGAACGATCCTTATAGACATCATTCGTTCTTTGAGCCACACTGAATTTTCCAAGAGTAACGCGAGCGGTCGCGACTACCTTCAAGTGCCTCGCTGCCATAACAGGGCCGGAAACCGACATGGTGCAGTATGTAACTGATTTATAGCTACATGCCGTGTTGGAGATGTTCTGGTATCGTCTTGCCATTCTGAAAGAGTTCTTCTCAAAGATCATGTTCTAGAGAATGCTACATGTCGGAGTGCGGAACAGCTGCAGTAATGCTTTCATGTGAAAGTAGGATTCCACGACGCGCGCGAAAGTGTTAACCTTGGTAATGACAGGAAGCGTGGATTATTTTGGCGGTCTACAGAATGCAGCGAGCGTTTGGAGCCAAATGTGGCAACGACCTAGACGGACTGGCACGACGCGAAGTCTAAAACCCGCCGGCACGCGCGTAGAGGCCGCTTATTAGCCTTTTTCACCGTTCACCTTGTTGGCAACACTCTTCGTGCACAATCCGTATGCAAATGTCCACGTAAGTGATGTCTCGATAGGTGCTGGAACGAGAAGCCCAAGCGTCACTTCGTAACTTGTTGATAAGCGAGATTAGTGGTTGAGCACGGGCTTTTACCTTACGATTTGGATAAAAACCTTTTCCGCCTTCTGTGCATTCTTCGGCTTGCAATACCTTAAGTTCATTCTTAACCGGGCGCTATCATCGCACGTTGTTCGTTACTCCTGGTCCGTTCGCATAGCGACTTCAATCGCGCCTCATCGCTTTAGGGACATACTCAGTTTGGTGGAAGAGAGAGCTATTCGTTCCATTGATACACTAGGTTCACCTATCAATTACTGATCAACTAGATTGCCAAGACCACAATGCGAAATCCACTCGCAGAATGCGGGTGAACATCGTCAACAGATTACATCAGCCACGATGCGATGATGCCCGGAATTTTACTCCCGCAGAAAGGATGCGAAGATAAATTACAATCCGAACACTCGTAACGACCCTCGCGCGCCAGGGACATTGGAATTCGCGATAGTGCAGTTCTTCGGGCCGATACCGACACATTCCCACCACGTAGGAATGCACACTTTCTGGATAGTCGCTATATAGTCAGAGACTTCCAGAGAATGCAAGGCAGGGAATCCAGGTTGCCATGTCACCGTGGCCATCTGTGGATCCGATGGCATCCTCAACCTTGCGACATTCTCTACTTTGGGCTTTGTGCTTTTCTCCGATCGCTCTCGGCCTTCCCGGTCCATCAATCATCAACAAAGCGGGAGGAAGAACTGAAAATGTTCAGTCATTTCATGATTCAGCAGACCTAGAACAAGGTTTTGCTCTCGAAGGTAGACGAACTGTGCTAGCCAGGGCTGCGGCAATTGTAAGTTTACAAAGTTAAACCACTCGTCTTACCCATATCATTTTCCTACAAACACTATCTCAAAAAGGCTGCTGGTACGACAGCCTCACATATGCGTTTTTTAATTCACGGTTGTACTCACTCATCATCACCCTATTCACTTCGGCTTCGAGGAAATCAACTGACCGTACATGCAGACGCCTAGCAACACATCAGTGGCAGGCTTCACATATTCAGGGTGCTACAGCGATGCCAGTAATGAACTCGCAATTACACCACTGTATCTTCTGAATGCTAAGAGTTATGTTTCGGCCTCATCTATGACCTGGGCAGCATGTACTTCATTCTGCGTCGGCTATCAGTATGCAGGAATCAGTGGCGGCTCGACGTGTCGATGCGGTAACACCTTCACATACGCTTCCAGTCCCGCAGCCGATTCGCTCTGTGTCGCAGTTTGTTCAGGGAACACGGCTCAAACCTGTGGTGGCGTGAACCGACTCACCGTGTTCCGTAACTCAAATTATGGAAGCGGAGCCTCGTCATCTGTACTACCTTCTGTGGCAGTCAGTTCAGTGGCATCGTCTCTTCAGGCACCGACAACATTTGTGTCATTGGTCTCTTCGGCCTCAGCCCCCCGCAGTTCGACAGCGGCTGCGTTGCAGGGATTACCAGCTTTCTCGTCGCCTTTGATACCTCTCGTACCAGTGTCTTCACCAGCTGCTGTGATAGGCCTCGCTCCGCTTCAGTTGTCGTCGCTTGTATCAAACGTCGCGCCACCTTTATCATTATTACCATCAGCACCCGTTCTTTTAGGAACCTCCGCTCCACAGTTCGCATCTCCGGCGGCTTTAGTTCCAACATCGCTATTGGCATTGATCCCCTCATCACCACTTGCAGCTGTGTTCTCAACACCAGCAATACCTGCAGCATCACTGCAATCATTGCAGCCTGTGCAGATAGCTTCGTCTCTCCCTCAAATATCACCGGCGAGCTCAATTATACCCAATGTGGTACCAGTGGTGGAATCAGTGCTCTCAGGTCTACGTCCAGTATCCTTGCCGTCGATCAACTTGCAAACTTTGGTGCAATCTTCCATCGCTTTGCCACCAGTCTCGATTCCCAGCCTTCCCGCGAGCGTGGCGAGTCTAGCATTGCCATCGCTTGGATTTCCAGCATCAAATGTTCTACCTTCAAACGCCGTGCCGACGAGTTCGCTGCCTATCGCACTCCCTGTTCCTACCCTGCCAGGGCTACCATACAGACGATATCTTCACTCGCCCTGCTATCACTATCAAATGTGCCAGCGGTATTGCCGCTGATCTTTCCATCGATCGCTTCGCCAGAGGTATCTGCGCTGCCTTTGATTGCAGCGTCTTCTCTCGCAGCGCCTTCTCGAGGGGCCCCTTCTATATCAGTTCCAGCTCTAGCACTACCCTCTGTGGCACTGCCCTCACTCTCCTCGCTGCCCTCTGTGGCTCTTCCATCTGTGGCAGTCCCTTCTGTGGAATTCCCCTCGCTGCCCTCTGTGGTACTTCCATCTGCGGCACTGCCCTCTGTGGCCCTTCCATCTGTGGCGATCCCCTCGCTGCCCTCTGTGGCGCTCCCCTCTGCGGCACTACCCTCTGAAGCCCTTCCATCCGTGGCACTTCCCTCGCTGCCCTCTGTGGTACTTCCATCTGCGGCACTGCCCTCTGTGGTTCTTCCATCTGTGGCACTGCCCTCGCTCCCCTCTGCGGCACTGCCCTCTCTCTCCTCTGTGGCACTCCCCTCGCTGCCCTCTGTGGCTCTTCCATCTGTGGCAGTCCCTTCTGTGGAGATCCCCTCGCTGCCCTCTGTGGTACTTCCATCTGCGGCACTGCCCTCTGTGGCCCTTCCATCTGTGGCGATCCCCTCGCTGCCCTCTGTGGCGCTCCCCTCTGCGGCACTACCCTCTGAAGCCCTTCCATCTGTGGCACTTCCCTCGCTGCCCTCTGTGGTACTTCCATCTGCGGCACTGCCCTCTGTGGTTCTTCCATCTGTGGCACTGCCCTCGCTCCCCTCTGTGGCACTGCCCTCTCTCTCCTCTGTGGCACTCCCCTCGCTGCCCTCTGTGGCTCTTCCATCTGTGGCAGTCCCTTCTGTGGAGATCCCCTAGCTGCCCTCTGTAGCACTGCCCTCTGTGGCAGTCCCTTCTGTGGCGCTCCCCTCTGCGGCACTGCCCTCTGAAGCCCTTCCATCCGTGGCACTTCCCTCGCTCCCCTCTGCGGCACTACCCTCTGTGGCACTCCCCTCTGTGGCTCTTCCATCTGTGGCACTCCCCTCTGTGGCTCTTCCATCTGTGGCACTCCCCTCTGTGGCTCTTCCATCTGTGGCACTGCCCTCTTTGGTTCTTCCATCTGTAGCGCTACCCTCTGTGGCTCTTCCATCTGTGGCGCTGCCCTCTGTGGCGCTGTCCTCTATAGCACTTCCATCCCTATCGGTTGCAGAACTACCGGCCTCGCCCAGTCTCCCAGGAGTACAGCTTCCCTCAATTCCAGATGTCTCAGGACTGCCAGAGATAACGATTTTGCCCAGTGTGCCAGCACTTCCAGGAAGTCTAGACAACCCAGCAATCCCGTTGAGTGCAGCAGTTCCCGACGTCCCGACCTTGCCGAAAGTATCCGGGATTCCATCAATTACGATACCTAGTGTACCGTTGCCATCTTTAGCATTGCTCAGCGATCCACTAGGGAATGTCCCAACGCTCTCAGGTGTGGTCGCATTGCCAGATATTCCATCAATATCCGGGCTTCCGGTACTGCCATCGATTGCACTTCCTTCATTTGTTTCGCCATCACAGGTACTTTCTAATATCCCGGAGATCCCAAGCATCCCAGAAGCGTTGCCTTCGCTTAGCTTGCCTGCACCAGCTGAATTGCCAGGCAATTTGCCCAGCATCCCAACCGATCTCCCTAACCCCGCGTTGCCAGACTTCTCAGCACTGCCTTCCGTTAACCAGCCTAATGTTCCAACACTTCCTACAGGATCGTTGCCGAATATACCGGAGTTTCCCAACTCTTGCAGTTCCCTCTTTTGCACTCCCCAGAAGCTCCAACACTTTCCACTAGTTCCTTCCCTAAAGGTACCAGAGGTTACAAATTTTACCCGTCTCTGTCGCTACCAGTCCCTCAGTGTGCCTTCGCCTACACTACCGGACGTGACAACGTTGCCAGAGATCGATCTCCAATCCGCGCTGCCTGGTCTTGATGCTCTAGCCTCGGATGTGGCAGCAGGTGTTCCTGGTCTACCTTCAGCTGGAGTGCCAGGTTCTCCAAGTTTGCCATCTATTGGCGTACCGCCAGTCGTATTGCCATCCGAACTGCCAAGTAAGCTCCCAGAGCTACCGAATGTCCCGGAATTACCTTCAAACCCGCTTTCAGATATACCAGCACTGCCATCAGTCACCTTTCCAAGCCTACAACTTCCTGCGTCGCTACCGGAAATATCTGCACTTCCTTCGCTTGGATTACCTAACAGCCCTGCACCACTGAATGGCCCAGAGCTCCCATCGGGTATACCAGCAGGAGAGCTGCCAGTGTTTCCAGTTCTGCCATCTATTCCTGTACCGTCGGTCTTTTTACCATCTGGGCTACCTATTGGACTGCCAGGACTCCCCTTGGTATCCGATGTTCCTGGACTGCTTTCAGAGACACTGCCATCTGTCGCTTTACCAAATCTAAGTGTGCCTTCAGTTGCACTACCGTCTGACCTACCCAGCGAACTCGCAGATCTACCCCTGGTTACAGATATCGCAGGTCTTCCAGAGGCTCTGCCGTCTCTGGTTGTGCCAAGCTTAAATTTGCCGTCGGCCGCGCTTCCAGCTGGCGTGCCTACTGCGTTTCCAGGGCTACCGTTAGTATCGGATGTCCCAGAACTACTCTCAATCGCACTGCCTTCTCTATCTGTGCCAGAAGCTCCATCCGCTCTGCCATCGCTATCAATTCCAGATCTAGAGCTGCCATCGGTCTCACTGCCATCTGAGTTAACCAGCGGACTGCCAGGACTTCCTTTGGTAACAAATCTCTTAGAAATACCTTCCGTTGCGCTGCCTTCTGTGGCTGTACCAGAGTTCCCATCAGCCTTGCCATCATTGTCGATACCTGACCTCAGTCTGCCGTCAGTTGCCCTGCCTTCTGTGGCTGTACCAGAGTTCCCATCGGCCTTGCCATCATTATCGATACCTGACCTCAGTCTGCCGTCAGTTGCCCTGCCTTCTGTGGCTGTACCAGAGTTCCCATCAGCCTTGCCATCATTGTCGATACCTGACCTCAGTCTGCCGTCAGTTGCCCTGCCTTCTGTGGCTGTACCAGAGTTCCCATCGGCCTTGCCATCATTATCGATACCTGACCTCAGTCTGCCGTCAGTTGCGCTGCCTTCTGTGGCTGTACCAGAGTTTCCATCGGTCTTACCATCATTGTCGATACCTGACCTCAGTCTGCCGTCGGCTGCGCCTTTGCCTGACGTACCAATCGAGCTACCAGGCCTCAGCTCAGATGTGCCAGAGTTTCCTTCAGTTGCGCTACCCTCTCTGCTTGTCCCGGAGATACCATCAGCTCTTCCATCGTTACCGGTATCGGACCTAAGCTTACCTCCGTTACCATCAGCAATTTCTCCGGTCGGTTTGCCAAATGCAGCATTACCATCTCTCGCAGTACCAGATCTGCCAGCACTACCATCGTTGGCCGTACCTGATCTGACAGCACTACCATCGTTGGCCGTACCTGATCTGACAGCATTGCCGTCGTTGATTGCTCCTGACCTAACAGCACTGCCATCGTTGGCCGTACCTGATCTGCCAGCACTACCATCGTTGGCCGTACCTGATCTGACAGCATTGCCATCGTTGGCCGTACCTGATCTGCCAGCATTGCCGTCGTTGATTGCTCCTGACCTAACAGCACTTGCCATCGTTGGCCGTACCTGATCTGCCAGCACTACCATCGTTGGCCGTACCTGATCTGACAGCATTGCCGTCGTTGATTGCTCCTGACCTAACAGCACTGCCATCGTTGGCCGTACCTGATCTGCCAGCACTACCATCGTTGGCCGTACCTGATCTGACAGCATTGCCATCGTTGGCCGTACCTGATCTGCCAGCACTACCATCGTTGGCCGTACCTGATCTGCCAGCACTACCATCGTTGACTGTACCTGATCTGCCAGCACTACCATCTCTGCCTGTATCTGATCTGCTAGCACTACCATCGTTAGCCGTACCTGATCTGACAGCATTACCCGCACTGCCGTCTCTAGGAGTGCCCGAAGTTTCAGGATTGCCATCTCTAGCTGTACCTGATCTGCCGGCACTAACATCGTTGGCTTTACCTGGTCTAACAGCACTACCATCTCTAGGAGTGCCCGGAGTTTCAGGATTGCCATCTCTGGCAGTACCCAATTTTCCAGCATCGCCATCTCTGGGAACACCCAATGCTGTAGCATTGCCTTCGCTGGGACTACCCGGTATTGTTGCTTTGCCGTCCTTGGCAGTACCTAATGTTGCAGCTCTACCGTCTTTGGTAGTGCCCAACGTTCCTTCATTACCGTCTTTAGCAGTGCCCGATGTCACAGTGTTGCCATCTCCGGTACTACCAGACATTCCGGTTTCCTTACCAACATCCGGTTTGCCAGTCGCCGCACTTCCATCCATTGCGCTACCAAGTATTCCAGCAGCACTACCTTCGCTCTCTTTACCTAGCTTAGGCGTGCTTTCACTTGCCGCACCAGCGATCCCCGCACTTCCATCGCTGGGTCTACCATCAATCGCAGTGCCCTCACTCCCTAGCCTATCTCTCCCGGCAGCACTACCTTCGCTCGCTTTACCCAGCCTAAGCGTGCCTTCACTTGCCGCACCAGCGATCCCCGCACTTCCATCGCTGGGTCTACCATCAATCGCATTGCCTTCACTCCCCAGCCCATCTCTCCCAGCAGCAATCCCCGGAGCACCTACTCCCTTGAATTCAGACCCAGAGATCTTCCCCACGCCAACGCCCCGCCCTGGCGTTGTCGAAAGCGGTGTCGTTCTCGAAGGCTCTTATTCATACGTCTTCTACTCAACCGGTATCGTCAAAGTGGCTGGCTCTTACCTCGTTCCCAAAGCCGGACAGTTCATTGGCTTCTTATCGGATGATACTCTGGTCGGACTATTTGCTGATGGTCTGCATATCGGGGAGCATTTGATTGCGTTCCCTGATGCTTATTTGAAGTTGCTTTTGAAGTACCGTCTTCAAGTCGCGCCGCTGGAGCTTTTGGACAGTCTACTGCCCGATGATGATGGTTCAGGGAAGTGATTGAGGCGGTGATTCTATGCGAGACAATAAGTCTTGAACCTGATTTAGTGGTGGGTTTGGATCGTGTAGATGCACGTTGATGGAGATTCCTTCGTCATTTTCACTTACTGCAGTCACTTTGACATATGAGTAACGCTTTACAAATTGGAAACGCCATTTTACTGCAAACTATGTTTCCTGCGAGATGATAAATGCGCGATTGAATTTAGTTTGTACGAAATCGTATCGTGCTATAGCTGCCTCCCCATGGGCTTGCCGAATCTCAAGCAGCGATGACGACCAGCAGACCCCGGAGCCAGGGAGTAGATGAAGCACTCCTGCTCCACCAAAATATGCTTTCCGCATTTCCACCGACGATCTAACTTAGGAATGTGTACAATACCTATCACGCGATCGCCATCGACGATGCCAACACAAATTCAGTCGTTTCCACATCTCGATCCTCGCCGAAGCTCGCCACAGAGATCTTTCCTTATCAATCCATCCCCCAAAACGTACATCGCAAAATTATGACTGATCGATTCTTGCCATACATGCGAAACCACGCACTCGGCTTAGCCTAGCTGCATCCGGCACCTCACCCACACGCGTCGAGGTCGTCGATCGTGGGGATATGGGGGAAATCTCATCAGCGCTTCCCTTGGGCGTGCGTTGGCGAACATCGAGCTGGAATTACATGTATGATAGGTCGTACTTTGTACTGACTGCATGCAACGGTAAGGGTCATGTCGTGCGACCACATTCATGCTGCCTAAGCACAGGGATAGTGAGTCTCTCCGCACGAGGCTGAAGGTGTAATTTTGAGGATAAAGCAAGAAGAGATATTGCGGTTTGACCTGTTTTTTTCGAGAAGCAAGCAAGCTGTACTTGAGTTTTTCACAATGGCGCTTCAAGTCTATCTCATCGCACTCTCATCCTTCATCCTCCTGGCAGCAGTTCGACTATACCAATACAGCAAGCTATCCTCCCGCCCCGCAAATTACCCCCCTGGGCCCAAAACCGTCCCGTTTTTGGGCAACTTGCACCAGGTCCCGGTGAATCGGCCGGAACTCAAGTTCACCGAGTACGCGCACGAATTTGGGGCGATTACCGGTCTCAAGCTTGGATGCCAGAACCTCATTCTTCTTAACACGTGGCAAGCGGTGCGCGACCTTATCGAGCAGAAGGGCGCGATTTACTCGTCTAGGCCGTTTAATGCGGTCGTTGATATCGTCGTTCCGAAAGGCGAGAATCCTGCACTGAGTCCTTACGGCGACTTATGGCGAAGTCAGCGCAAGCGCATTGTGGAGTACATTGGTGGTGAGAGGACTGATAAGATGAAGCCTGTACAGGATGCCGAATCGACGCAGATGATCTACGATATGATGAACCGTCCGGAAGATTTTGAGCGGCACGTTGATCGCAGCTTTGGTGCGGCTATTCTCGCGACAGTGTTTGGTCAGCGCGGGAAGACCATGGATCCTGGTGGCAAGCTAGATAGTTTTTTCAATGTCCAGGCTGAATGGACTGTATCGTTGGGTGCAACTGCATCTCCACCGTTGAACAATTTTCCATTCTTGGGCAACATACCCGACTGGCTGACGCCATGGAAAGGATGGAAGGATAGAGCCTTGTTTATCAAGAGAGAGCAGGAGCGAGTTTATGGTGGCCTTGTGAACGAGGTAAAAGAGAGACTAATGGGGGGTGAAGAATCAGAGTGCTTTGTGGCGACAGTCCTGAAGACTCGAGAGAAAGAGCAGTACACTGACAACGGGCTGGCGCACCTGTCTGGCGTGCTACTCGAAGGGGGTGCAGAGACATCTGCAAGCTCGGTGATGGTCTTCATCCTGGCCATGGCTGCATTCCCAGAGGTGTTGGCGAAGGTGCAGGAAGAAGTCGACCGCGTTTGTGGAACCTCGAGGATGCCAGGAGAAAATGACGTTAGTAGCTTGCCCTACGTCAGGGCCGTAATGTTGGAGGTTCTCCGATGGAGGCCGATCGCACCACTAGGTGTTCCGCATAACACAGTGAGCGAAGATACTTATGGAAGCTACACCGTGCCAGCCGATACCGACATCATTGTCAACGCTTGGCGAATCAACCACGACGAATCGTTCTACGATGAGCACGAAAGATTCAATCCTGAGCGATACATGCAAGATGAGTATGGACGTGGCGAGTTTGCGCGAATGCAAGATATCAAAGGTCGCCGACTGAATTATTCATTCGGAGCAGGTCGACGTGTCTGTCCCGGTCAGAGGTTTGCTGAGAATAGCTTGATGATGCATTATGCAAAATTGGCATGGGCGTTTGAAATCAAACCTACCGGGGAATTGCCGGTGGACAATTGGAACGATTGGACGGATGGACTGATCATTCGACCGAAGCACTTGCAGGTCAGATTCGAGCTGCGAGGTGGCAGGAAAGAAACGATTAAGCAAGCGTGGTTGGAGGCGGACGATTTCTTGCGACAGTTCGAAGTCTGATATTGTATCCCAGATGGCGGTAGTCACTTCCAGAAATCAATTTCATGCAAGGTCCGCGCAACAAGACAACTCTTTTGTCTTGAGTTTGTTTGAGCTGAAATCATTTGGAGCGAGACTAACATGAGATTTGTTATTGTGACGGCCCGCAAGTTGGTCAAGAATGCCAGCACGATGATGGGCCCGCGTCGAGCAAAACAAGTGAGCGTCAGATGAAGGGAACGTCTGCAGGCAGCCTCTACGGGCAATTACGATTAAAGACTACTAGTTTTCAACGCGATTCGCTATCGCAAGACGGTGTCTTACAGAAGATACGTTTATGCCCATGCGCCGACTAACGCCATCAGCGCAGCGCCGCTCACAACACTAGCGCAAGCTTGCAATCGTCGCTTCCCCTTCAAAACATGGTAGCTTTCGTCGCTGAGAAAGTCCTCGGCAAGAAGCTCGACTAAGCCGGCGAACAGCAAAAGACCGCTGGATATGGCATTCATGAAACCAACGGTGAGCAGTCCAACTTGACTCGCAGGGTCATACAAGGTGTGGATGGCGAGCCCTATTGCCTGGCCGATTGGTGTGGTGGTGCCATATGCCAGTGCCATCAACCAGGGCTTCATTGATCCAGCAGGGAATTTGATAGCACTGATTCGCGATCCAAGAGCGAATCCTTCGAAAGTTTGATGGAAGGAGATTGCAACCAGTAGAACGGCAAAAGATAGTGCCCGTGGCAACTGACAATGCCATGCCGATGAAGACGCTGTGGAACAAGATGCCTGCCTCGAGCAATAAGCACTGGAGCAGCAGTTTTTGATTCTGCGCCTCGGTCTTTTCAGGTGGTTCTGAGTGGTCGCGAGGATGATGGGCCTGCTTATGGGCTTGGGAATGCCGCAGTAGACTGGAGTCGTCTTGGTCATCCTCCACTTGCGGGCCAAGCTCTTCTGGGCGAATCTCAAGATCTGAGCCATCACTATCAACCGAATCGCGAGCTACACCACCGTTGGCATGAGGAGGGTTCGGTGTCATTGGTGATGCCAACGAGGGCGATCGGTTCGCCATCAAACCGTCCGAGGAGCCGATATCGTGCAACACGATTGGAGGTACAAGACCGTTCGCCGCCGATGTGCCATTGCTATACCTGCCATAGCTATGGCTTTTCTTGTGTCGTGGCCGTGTAGGAGCATCGTGATTGGCAGGTCGCAAGCTTTCATAGTCGGCCGAATGTGAATGTCCCGCACCTTTGGATGCAAAGAACATTTCGATGGCAACAACGACAAAGACGGACGTCATGGCTATCAGGCCCGGCATGGCCGAGTAGCCATGATTCCAGAAGTATGGCAGACATGGGTCGGTGAGGGACTCGAAGGCAGTGGGTAGCAGGTGCACGAAGGCTGTCGCGATAAGGACACCGGTTCCAAAGTGCCGTGAGAGGAAGAGAAACTGGTGAGGTATGGGAATGCTGGGGAAGCGCTTCACAATTACTGGGAACGAGCAAGCTGCAGGACGAGTCAGCTTGTGATCATCATGGCCAAGCACGGCCATGCATACCTGCGGTGCTCAATGTGAGGATCAGGAAGAGAGCAAACACGTGTAGGGATGTGTTGTAGTGTCCTTTGCCTCCCTTGGTTCCGCAGGCTGGTCGTTCCTGCCCATCTTGCTGTCTTCGGTGGAGTTCGGCTCGCAGCAGGTGCGTCGGAATCTCTGAGTACAACAGGCCTGTATGTGTATTCCAGTCAGTTGAGGGCCGCTAGCATTTTTCCATACACGCTGACGGAGACTTGCCTGCGAGGTTGTGGCCATCTATCATTGCGGAGGTTGCGGCGTCCTGCGAGAGAGACGGAGCGTTCGCCGGTGGTGCTTCCCCAAGGCCGCCGGATCGGAGCGGCTTTGTTCCAGTCAAGCAACGCGCCGACAAAAGCCCACGACCTCAACACACGACCTCAACTATGGCGGACGGAGTTGTTTGCGACGCGTCGACCATTACCGCCCATGACGATGCGCGATGCCAAGCATGCGTCTTCCGTGTCCGGGATAGCAACATCACCATGTCAATGGGCCCGAAAATGGTCTTCGCTGGACAAGGAAATTAGGCGAAAAGCAAGATGATAGACACATGGCAATGAAAACTTCTGGACATCGCGTGATGAACAATGGCTGACAATGTCCAGAATGCGAAAAGTCGAAGTGTGTTGTGACACGACCTCGGGATGCGCATTCAATCAGCCGTTGCAGCCTGTTTGGTGCCGAGCCTTTTGTTGTCTGCTCCGATTCGCAACGACTGGAGATCCTCACTTGAATCTGCAACATTGCGCGTGACGTAGGTATTTGCAGAAGAAAAAATCCCAAGTTTGAGAAGAAGATGCCGCCCCTCTGTCATGCCACCCTTACAACGACATTGCCGGGGCGGAATCACAACCTGCATCTTTGTACCAGTGTAGTCCATGTGTACGCAACACTATACCCGGGCAGCTACGGCGAATATTGGCCTTGAGAGCGAAAGCCATTATTTGGCCACAACACTATCCTGTTCATCAACTTTTGCATGCCTTCCGAGACTCGCACTTAGAGACTTCCACAACAGCAAGGCTAGCTAGCTGCACACGAGTACACGACGAAAGCGAAACGCGACCATCGGCGACCAGCACCCTGTCGTTTTCAAGCTCGCTTCTGCAGCCTAACACATATCGGGTCATTGATAGTTCCACGTCTCTACCCCTCCGAGCACTTCACTCTCGCATCTCTGCGACGAATGCGCCACTCCCAGCACCACCCTTGCAGACGTGAAGTCGGAATGATGGTGAGAGAGCATCAATCAGCAAATCTCGCCCTTTCCCGTCTTCTCAAGCATACATCGGTCGTACTCAGCTGAGGTGCATCGTTGCCAACGTACTATTGACAGACGGAGCCAAGAGACTGGTGGTCTTGGGTTGGCCAGCCATTATGGCGGGTCATGAAGAGGGCATGAAAGAGGCACCACGCACTATACCAGTCCAGCAAGACTTCCTCTTTGTTGATGCGGCGCAGGCAAAGACCTCACGCCAGGGTCGCAAGAATGCTCGATCATTCGTCATGCAAAAAGCGCGAAGAGAGCGTCCCTGGTCCACTAGCAAGCATGCCGCGAAAAGGGCAACTTCTGGGAGTACAAGTAGAAGTCCAAGAAGCGCGGGGACCCGGGCTTCATCACTCACTCCAAGTTCGACCATTCCCAGTCCATCCCTCACATCTGTCCAGGCCGATTACTTTGCTTCTCAGGAGCATACCTTGATGCGAGCGATTGTGTGTCCAGAATGTCAGATCTTCTTGTGTCGCCCTGGTCAGGGTATGTGTCCGAGGTGCCTTTTCCTGAAGCCGATGTCTGCTTTAGAAGGCGTCGACAATAGCTTGTTCGACCCCTTTGGAACCTCTTCTGTCGAAACGAATGCTAGTGTATCGGAACTGTTGGAGCATTGTGAGTGTTTGATCTCGCATAGCTTGGTGAAACGAAGAGAACCTGACATGAGGTTGAGATGTGTCCTTTGTTTTCGTGTATCTGAACAATCATGGCTGACGAAAGCTAACACTTGTATTGCAGTCGCTTCCGAGATGGCTCCCAGCGTCATTGCTGTGGACTTTAGACGCCGCTCCACGCTGATGAGATCGCAATGGTTTGGCACAGCAGTCAACGACACTGGTTTCATGCACAGCTTACTTTGTACCGCGGCATTACATCTCTACATGGTTGGAAGAGGTTCGATCGAAACCATCTTGTACCATCGGGCAAAAGCCATATCTGCCATCAATGCAGCCATCTCAAATTTGAACGACAACACCGGATTGTCGGATGCGAACATCGGCGCAGTCTTCAACTTGCTTACCATAGAAGAAAGCTTGCAGGTACCGGTCTTCACCCAAGAACGACTCGACGAGGAACAGCCAAACCAACGTGCAATACACGAGAGCGGGCTGAAGAAAATGGTGCAACTGCGGGGAGGACTGATGGCAATGAGTTCAAATCGCATTCTTCAAGCTTTTATGTTATGGTGCGCGCCCACTTGTGCCCGAATTGGCATCGCACTTGCTTACTGAGCATCAGGCATTCGACCGCGTGGGCCGTCGCGGAATTTAGAGCGCCAGATCCGTCAGCACTCGAATACATCAAGACGGGAAACTTTCCTCGCCATCCCCCGGGCTATCAGAGTAGCATCTCACAGCACTTGTTGGACTCGTGCCGCTATGCAGGAGTGAAAGAGACCTTGACTAGCTTGGTCGAAGGAGTACTAATCCTGATTGCCGACTTGAACGTATGGTTCAACGATGCGAGTAGTACTCTTGACCCGCTTGACATTCAGAACTATTCATGTGTGCTAGAGTGCAGGGCGCTTGACTGGCTGCACGAGAATGAGCATCTCATCACTCCGCTTGAAGATGCGTTATGCGTCGCACTCCTCATCTTCACAGTGCGCACCACTGAAGCGCTGCAACGGAAAGCCGATATCCATCTTCTACACTTCGCAGCAAGCAAGCGCCTCGAACAAGCACTGAATTGCACTATCCGTCACGACTGGCAACACTGCCCCGACCTCCTCCTGTGGATTCTATCAATCGGCGCGATATCCGCGAACGGCTCAGCGGAAAGCAATTGGTTCGTCTACCAGACCTCTCTCGCATGCTTAGAACTTGGCATCGTTTCAGCGGAAGCACTCCTCGCGCGACTGGATCTCTGTGGCTGGGTCAGCTACAAGCTGAATGCCGCAGTACACGATCTCTGGGATCGGATTATTCAACTCAGGTTAGACAACTTCTACCTTCCTTCGATTGCTTCACTTGCTTATACAGGAGTCTTGCGCGTGTAGGCTCGAGCCGCAATTCGACCCACCGACCAAAATCGAAGACGCTAACAGCCCTGTTGGGCCGCTTCAGCGGCACGTCGCTGAGCCGTATCTTGAGGAGTGGAAGCACGTCGATTGGCCATCGTTCAATCTCGGCGAGGAATCTTCTGGTGTGTATGAGCACGGATATTCCGGGCATGGAGAGAGTGGAGCTATGGATTATTCTGGGGCATACAATGATGCCCTCTTCAGAGTAGCAGACGAGGATGAAACCAATGTAAGGCCAGAGTACTACTCGGCATAAGAGACGGATATTTTTCGACCGCTTGCATGATTTCAGGCTCGATTGGTTGCATACTTCTTTCTTCTGAGCAATTCCGTTAAGAAACAGAACTCCTGCTTCCTCGGCTCAGATCTTACCGTCTTCCTCCAAGCAAGCAATGCGCCTTCTTACTTCACGCCTAGAATTGTAGCCCCAATTCCTCGGCTCAAATCCTATACATGCCGATATCTTCTTCTCTCAACCACGACCTTCACGCCACGACGTCTCGGCTTATGTCTCCTAGCCGCACAGCCTCGATCATAGGTTAAGTACACAGCACTACCCAGTAAAAGCTAGGTTCCGCTTCGTTACTCCAACTTATGATCTCCACATTATTCCCGCATCGGTAGCTCAGTATGAAGTCAAAAGCTTTCACTCAAGAACAACAAGACTAGAAGGCCAAGACAGCCTAGGCAACATCTTGGGGTAACATAAGGCGTCTTCAATAGTCTTCGTGCAAACCATGACAAGTCAGGATGTACTATATGATAGAACATATTCGACCTGGGATCGGGCGCGTGTTCTTCCATCATCATCTGACTTACGGTAGTTCACAGGGGCAATCACCAGCATGCTGTTCAATTCCGTTGTGATACTTGCGCTTTGCGCTGCCCCTGGCGTCGAAGTCGCAGCAAAGCCGGTGTCCAAGAATGCGCGCTGCGGAGAGAAGTTTGGCGGCGCGACTTGCCAGGGAAGCAAATGGGGCAATTGCTGCTCTCCATACGGGTATGTCTCCTGAACTGATGATACCAAGCAAATACTGACATCACGCAGCTACTGTGGAAGCGGAAAGGATTACTGCGAGGCGAAGAAATGCCGGAAGAACTTTGGTACTTGCAATGGACAGTATCAGTGTATTTGATGGAAGGGCATAGGTAGATTGCTCGAACAACATTACTGTTACACATAGCATATCTTTTTCATGCTACCACCCGCCGTCTCAAATACCTTCTCCGTTTGAGGATGCCCGCGTGCGAATGCGCAGCTCAAATTGAACACCCGCCCTCTCAAACGCGTTCAGCCGCTCCGCTGGAAGATCCCAAACAAGAATCTGCGTGTCCTTTTTCATGGACCCCTCCAATAATTGCAAGCACTTGAGCTTTTTCAGCCCCGTGACTGGATCCACGAGCTCCGTCATCCAATTGTACGCAGTGCGTAATTTGTCGAGCAATGCCGCCTTGCCTATAGTGTAGGTGACAAGTCTGTCTTGGTAGCCGGCACCCGCGACGAAGATGCGAGCAAGATAGATGAAGTCTACACGTAGTTCTTGTAGCGACCGTGGTAGGAAAGCTCGGATGGATGGGCGGCTATTGGGGACCATCCATACAAAACCAGTAGGTGGATTAATTGGCCCAAGAGCTGCGTGTACGAACCGCACGCCGGCGGGGACTCGAAGACGTAGCAAAGCGGTGAAGTTAGAAATGTCGCCGTCCTGATTTGCCGCCAGGCCGTTGGTCTGTTGGTTATCGTGAGGTCGGTTAGTGTGTTGTGGGCGTAGGAGAGCTGTTGCAATTGAACTTTTGTACTTACGATCAACCCGTAATTTTCTTTATTGACTACGACGCGTTTCAGGTGAATGCTTGCCTTTGATGGGAGCAGTGTTCCGATGTTGCCAACGCCGCATGCTTCGAGTTTGACATGAAGGTTTGTAGGCTTTGCCGGGGTCTGGGAGCTACCACGGGCATCGATCGCGTTCATGAGAGCATCATAGTCTTTCTTGATGTGATTGTTGATAGGGCGTATCAGGTCGATTCTACCAGATATGCCATCGGAATTCAATGCCCCTTTGGCATACAGAGTAATCTCCTGCAGAGCTGGCAGCTTGATCCGTGATGTGAGTGTGCTGAAAGAAGCAGGCAGGGGATTACTTTGATCCGGCTGGCAAAATAAAATGATGTTCAGATATCGGATCGGCCCATGAAGAACTGGGCCCGTTGTTGAGCTGCCTTGTGCATGCAGATCGACAGCGGCGAGGAGCTCATCGCACTGTCTTCCAGCGTCTAGTCTACGCACCACGATAGTCTTGGTGCTCTGAGCGACGAAAAACGCTGTTCTGGCATGCTGGGGTAAAACTTCTTGGGCTGCCTTCAAGTCTTTCGTATCGTGGGTGAGGAGAGATTATATCTGTTCAATAATCTCAGTTGATAGATCATTGAGTTTGGCCTTCAGGGGAGGTTCCGGGTCAGGTTCCGGGATAGAATTGTTTGGGAAAGCTTCCGGGGTAGAGGATTTTGGGATAAGTTCTGGGGTAGGAGGTTCTGAGACGGATTTTGGGACAAGGCCATCTGATGGCAGCTCTTCGGTGATATCATGATCCTCCATGCTGAAGACTTAGGTACTCAAATTGTGTGTCATTCGAACTATAGTGAGTCTAAATTATATTCCTGATTCATGCTTGCTGTAGCAGGAGTTAACGAAGTTTGCTCAAGCTAGGGACGGCAATCCACGATTGTGACAAGCTACACGTGAGTAGTTGAACACCTTGGTACAGGCTCTACGCGTTCTGATCAAGCATTCATCTGCTACATCTAAGCATTTCGATATAGTTTGCATACCTTCTCTTCAAGTAAAAGATAGAGTCTATTTGACATCATGAAGAGGGCACCGCCCAATCATACCAAATATTCGCCCATGTCCTAACCCAGAACAAGCATAGCAATCTGATTTTCACCAAAACATCTAGCATTGAACGCTCACAGTACATCTGTATGTCTTTGATTCTCGCAACCAGTGACACTGTTGTATGTACACCCAAAGTCAACTTTGCCTCTCGCAGCGTGACCTACGTCAACAAAGCCCATCGAAAAGCAACCGCTGCAGTTTTTTCTACAATCTATACGCGCGTTAATTTATATTTCATATCAAATGTCAGATTCTGCATGCATTCATGTCCTATTGCCGGTCACTTTATGCTTTCTGCATGTCGTCGCGTGCTTAAATCTTTTCACCCATCAATTAGACGACTTCTTTTTAACCTTAACCTGTCGACTACGATCTTTCATCCGAGCGCATCTTAGACTGAAACATACATGCGCCGTGAAATCTTTGCGTGTCAGGTGGATTTTAAGTTCTTCAGTTCACATCGAGAGGACTATTGCTTGAATTGCTGCGCCTCACGGGACGGGACGAGCCAGTGAGACACCTATCCACGACATTGTCGCTGTGACTAACATGAAGTCCTGATGTCGCGACCCAGCATGACTCTCAGAATTCAGATACCAGCATTGCAAGGATGTGTAGGATTCTATCTTACATCTAACATCTACTCCTTTTTGCTCATCGTTCTCAGTGCTTTCTACCTCGAAATCCACCACCTTCCTTAATCCTCCTCCTCATCCTCCCCATCCCCTTCCTCCAGCACCCTACATCTCCGCACCAAATCCTGCACATGCTTATCTCCACTCCCCCGCCCCAATCCCCTCAACGCCGTCTCCAACATATACAAATACTCTTTATTCTCCCCGCTCGGCCCATTGCTCTCCAGAATCTTTCTCGCCAACTCGTCTGGATCCTGGGGTCCCAGAAACTGCGGGTTGGATGGCAGGCCGATGTAGACGAGACATTTGATGGCACTAGTGGGAGTGTAGGATATTTCCGCTGTGCTGGTTTTGCGGATACCAGGGCCGGTTTCTCGGGCGGGGAAGGATGTAGCCGTGGATGTTGTCGACTTTGGGCTGGGTCAGTGGATTGACTTTATAGATGCTGATGAGGACATACTGGTGCGGGATGGAATGGTGTGAATTGAATGCTGTAGCCGTTGATTTCCCTTATGTCGAGATATTCGCGCACTTCAGCGACATGTTTCGAGGGTATGTGGTATGCGGCGCCCCAGACGCGTTCGGCGGGTTCGTGCTGAATGGTGTTAGGTGGGATGAATCATGGGTGGAGGAGGTGCTCACGTGATCTGTTAAGGTGTCCCAATGGGCTTTGTCGATGAGCGTTACGACGCGTCCTGGAGCTTCGGGTGTGCCGCGATGGTCTTCACTGTATGATTTGTTAAACACATGTACTCTATCGATCCGACGTTGAGTGTACGTACCTTGCCTAAATCATCTTAGCCATGTGTTACATCATTCAAGTTGTGAACTCATACCTGCCAGAACCTCCTCACATATCCTTCTATATATCCCGGAACGCGTTGGTCTCCTCAAGTATTAGTAAGTGTGTAAATGCTCGGAACGGTCATCAAGTACCAAAATGTGGTGGTGGTTTCCAGATCAAGCTCCTGTAGATCAATAGTCAGCCTTCCCCCATCACCATTTTCCATCAGGAAAAATCGCACCCATAGCCAAATAGCCAAAAGTCATCGTTGATGCCAAACTCCTCTATCTCTTTCTGATGGTCCGCCATGTTCGCTTCGAAGTGTCTGAAATCATCGAGACCAGTTGTCATGTTTAACGATATTCAAGCGAGGGGCAATTCCGCCTTACTAGTGGGGCTTGATGGCGCGACTCCGATACTTCCGCGAGAGGTATTAGGTCGTACGATGCTCACTCGAATTGGTTGGGGGATACCGTGCTTCGGCGGCTCTTTCGGGGATGCAGTAAGTAATCGTGCCGATGGGATAAATTCTAGTTGTTACGACATGTCTACATATATCTACAGAAGTTTCGTACAGTTACAAGTATCACGACCCACCCGCTGCTCTGCTCATGAAGAATCCCTTGAGCGGGCCCATAGCGTCTACAGCCCTCAGTCCGAGAGAGCGTAGTCCTACAATCGGGCCAGATTCTACGCTATATAGTCGGTGCAGCTTGTCGCACACGCCAAGCATGGCATTGTTCTCGGCATACCGCTCACTGTTGTAGCTTTCCAGCGCCAATGTCGATCCTATGTCTTGCCCAGTCTGCACTGCATGCGAAATTGTCCGCACAAGCGCCGCTGCGTCGCCTTGTCCTTGGTTCAAGCCCTGACCTGCCAAGGGATGTATAGTATGTGCTGCATCGCCAACGAGTGCGACTCGCTCGCCAGTATACGTGTCGGCGTGCCGCATTCGCAGCGGAAATGAAGCGACCGTGCCGGCTTGGACGTTTGTCACTCGCATCGGTACCGCCCGTCCATCCACAGGAGTATGCTTTTCGCGCCATGCGACCTCTTCCTCCTGCCCCGCGTCCAACGTGTGCAAGTACTCGAGATCTGTAGTCGATAGCCGGAAGCCAGCATTCACCATGGCCACAAAGTCTTTCTGCGAAAGTGCCTTGAGCCGTGCTGCTCGCTCTGGTGTAGTGCTCCATACCAGCGTCGAAAAATTTCCCGGTAGTGGCAGCATGGCAATGGGCCCCGTGGGCAGGAAGCGCTGGTAGGCAATCTTGTGTTGTGGCCCACCCCAGCCGGGCCCCTCCAGCGCGAGACTCGCCACCACGCCGTGCCGGTTGTAGTCGAAGCCTCGCGCCTCGATGCCCGCAAACGTGCGCACCGGGCTGTTTGCACCGTCTGCACCGACTAGCAACCTTGCAGCCAGTGTCTTGCCATTTGATAGCGACAGTATTGGCCATGATGATAGGTCCATCTTGTCCGTGTCCGTGCCTAGCTCAATCGAGCTGACCTTAGTGTTCGTCATCATGTCCACCCCACCAAGCTCCTCGAGGCGGCTCAGGAGCATGCTCGTAGTGTTGATATTCTCAATCATGTATGCAATTGTCGTGGGCTGTGCGGGGTTTCGAGGTCCGATAGATCGTGCCGTGCCCCAGTCGAAGGAGATACGCGCATCAGTGACGCCATCCCATACCTGCATCTCCTGGTATGGCTGCACTCGCGCCGTGTTGACATGTGCCCATGCTCCAATTTCTGCAGAGGTCAGAACGTTTTCTGCAACTTCATTCCCTATGACATGCCTTGGAGGTTCTTTACGGACGCTGGCGTCAGAGAACTGCATCGATTTGAGAAGCTCTCCAAGCTGGCATCTTTTGGTAGCCGGTTCTTTTGCAAATCTTGTCCTTCAATAAGCGCGACTCGGAGGCCGCTGGTAACCGGAGAAGCCTTCAAAGCAGCCAGCAAGCTCAGTCCCGCAGGACCGCCGCCTACGCAGACAACATCATAAATTTCCGGCGCGTCTGCGGAGGTCGAGGCAAACCTCCGATGGAGCCGATTTCGGAAATGAAAAGTTCTTTGTGGTTGTAGGGCCCGAGGCGCACCGCAAGTAAATCGAGGAGGCATCAGGAGCCCAATGTGGGAAGCCAGGTCATCAAATATGGGACGGAGAGTTCGAAGCGCAAAGCCAACGGTGGTGTCATCATGCGCTTCTTTGGCGCGCTCGCAGATCCCTCCACTCTCGGATCTTGCCGATCGCGCTAGCGGGAGTGTGGCCATAGCTCCAACGACTTCTCATCTGCACTTTCCCCCACTCCCGAACCTCTTCACACCTACATTCCCGAACGGAGAGTGTTCGGATATCGCCCCAAGGTCCTACTGTTCCTTCGTCACCATGCCTATTCGCTCCAAGATTGCATGACTGCTCTCGGGTACTATGTGCTAGTACCACTGGTGGATGTGAGGGAACACGGCCATGGAGACAACATCCCACTTCGAAGGCGTCTACCAACCTTCAACGCATTTCGGGAGTGGTTCTATATCGGGCCCCTCAAGGCTGTGAGGCATCTGTTGAGATCTTCCAGAATAGTCTTGTGAACATATGGGAGCCACACAACTTAGAGAACTAGCCAGCTTAGAGCAGATGCACGGCTGCACTTTGGTATGAACTATGGATAGTATCACCGTGGCTCGACCAGTTGAGCGGCTTGTTTGAATAGGAGCGTGCCAAACTGGCGAGCTAGAGTGGATAGAGCGTGCCCAGTGCAGACATACACAATATTCTACGAATGCCATAACCCACCTTTTAGGTCCATTCACAAAGTTTCCCCTTTATATACTAATATCTTGATTTTTCATTGCACTCAAAACAGCCCACATAAGTTCAAGGTAGATACTGATTACAGCAGCCAGCCACAGGCTCCACCAGAAACATCCAACAAGACTGGACCAGTTATCATCATCCCCAAGGAGGAAGCAAACATATTGTACATTGGACACATAGTCTACAGTACGGGAGGCTTCGCTCGAAGGAAGCATGGCCTTGTCAAAGTCACGGTTCTGCAAGCGCAAACATACCTCCAGCCAGGCATCTGATGGCGAGGATACTCACCCCTCCTCGAAGCGCGATGCACCCCCCGGAGAAATTTCACCTCCAGATGGCATCAAATCGCCAGCAAAGTCAGCCTCAGAGCTATCTCCCAGTCAGAAGGGTAAGCAGCACCGACGGCTTACTGTGTCCCAGAGAATCATTTTATGGATCCTGGTCTACATTGGCAAGGATTTCAGAATCAGTGAATCTGGCGTCAATACGGAAACGAAAAAGGAATACCACATCACTGCAAATGTGCAGAAAATGGTCATGAGCTGCGCAGTACGGCGCATGGAGAAAGCTAGGCGTGCAGGAAAGACAAACTACGATCTAGCGGAGACAGTATCCCGCGCTCTCGACAGGATGAAAAAGTTGACCCATCAACACGAGTATCTCGACTTGAAGTGTTCTGACGGCGGACCCAGCGACTTCCGAGAGAGACTTGAGTGGGCAGACTTCCACGTGATGCTCGCTGAAGAGCAGCTCGAAAATGAAGCGGAAATGGAGCCAAAGAAACAAAAGCCTCAGGAGCAAGATAAGCAACGTTCGCGGAAGCATGATGTTGCGAATAAGGACCAAGCCGAGGATGAAGCTTCGCAATACCCGATGCAACAATCATGGCAGGGAAGCGACATTGCCTCCCGGCGAGAAGGAGCTTCCAAAGCAGAACGTCGCAGAAGGCCCTACAGAGAGTCAGTCGAACCCCGAGCAGCATGCACTGCACACCAACGAACCGGCCTCTGGACAAAGACTTGATGCGACCAATATTTCTTCCGCAGTTGCCAGACCCATGTATGTCGACAATCCTAGACAGCTACAGCGCACTAATCCCCGATGGAGCTTGGGTGTTTCGAGAACCGGGAGGCAGCCCAGGCTCCATCGCTGCCTTCAGCTCTGGCTACATCTCTGCCTTCATACCACGAGCTCCGCGCCTGCGTCGATGCGCGCAGACGATCTCCCCGCACCACTGCACGCGAACAACTGGCATATCGGGGTCCACTGCCCTCACTGAGTCCAGTCGCTGTCGACACCCCATCAGGCCCACTTGCCTCAGCCGCCATCGCGTTCTCAACGACTCCTTCGCACGAACAGTTTGTACTTCGCATCCTGCCTCCACCGGTTCCGCCCGCCCCATGCAGCCCACTTACCATCTCCTCGCCTTCCCAATCAACGAGAAGCGATCGCGGACCATCTGAATACCACCCCTCGGGTCCCGCAAACCCTTTCGCTCGAGCGGTTCAGCAGCAACCTTCCCCGCCATCATTTCGTTGTCACGAGCGACGCGACGCAATCTGGCAGCTTCCGACGACGGCGTTCCTGGCTCAAGATATCCTGGTACCCAGCGTTGAGAGTGAGACTACGTCTTGGATGCAGAGCGGGTATTACCCTTACTCCTTGCTCCTTGCTCAGGCTCCCGCACCATCTCGGCGCGTGGCTCGGTATCGCGCTAGGATCGCGCCCGTGATCGAGGCGCACGTGCAGGGCGAGTCGGCGCTGAAAACGATTATGACGAGTCCACGACGGTGGTTTAGGGAGAGGAGGGATGATGAGCATCGTTGGCAATAAGCATTTCACCGTGGATATCAGGTGGGTGACTCCCAGTCTTCATCTAACACTTTCTTCAGCTGACATCACCAGTTCGCCGTCATTCTTAGATGTTGACACAAGGTCGCTTTTCCGCACACAACCTGTCGAGAACTCCGCCTTCTTTTTAATATTCTTCTTCTTCTTCGCACGATGGGCACCGTCCAGAGTCGCACTATTGGATTCTCACTTTATTTCTTCTTCACCTTCTTCTTTTACGGTTTCCTTACCCACACACGACGTCCCGCGAGTCCATGTACCTGGGCACCCACCCATGTATCACCAACCCCCCCAACATGTCTTTCTCGGTCTGGTCTCTTAGCCACGGTGTTCCGGCGTCTGGCCAACAGCTTCCTTCACGGAATGGGTCTTTGAAGGAGTTGGCTTGTCCACTAGGAGTTTTGGCGTTTTGGATATTTCTTTACAAAAGCGGTCAAAAGTGACAAAAGAACAATGTGTAAAGTTGGGACCTGGACTTGAAAGGGTTTACTAGATGCAGCAATTCCATCGGGTCGACGGAAAAAGCAATTGCGTGACGCGGGACGTGTGACATGATAGCAGCCAAAGGTGATACGGACGTGTATGGGACGCCCTTTAATATGTTTGTATTGCCATGTAGATGACTGCGACCTTTCCTAAGCCAGTTCACTATCGGAATGGAGATTCACGGTGATTCGTACTGGTTACATCACATGGATAGACATCACATCACACACGTACGCATCCTAGTAATCAAAGCCACAAATGTCCTCGTCGACGCCATCAAAACGCCATGCTAAATTTTTTAACATTACCCTCCATCGTACTTCAAATGCGTCGAAGACTAAATGACGTCCAAGGATTTTCCCCAACCCATTAAAAATGCCAGTATAGCGAAGCTCGTGCCCAGCCTCATTGTAAAAGGAGCGAAAAAGTTGCCCTTCTCGGGGGTATCTGAAAAGGAATGTGGAATGTGTCGCTATGCATGCAATCAAAAGTCCAAAAACGCCGAGTTATGCTGGGAGTCTACAACAAGACAGCGAAGCCCAAGAAGACGCTTCCGCAGAGAGCGGCGAGCGTCATGCCAGCGCTGGGCGCGAAGACGCCTGCCGCAGCGCTGCCCTGGGTGGAGGAGCTGGCGCCGGTCTGTTGGGCGCCGCCGAAGCCGGTGAGAGGGATCTTGTTGGTGCTCGAGGGGGTGGCGGAGGCGGTGGACATGGTAGCGATGGAGGAGTTGCCCTTGTATGGGGACTGGGCTCCGCAGGGGTGGTCGGCACTACATCTCAGGTTAGCATCGTGATCCTTAACTTCTACTCGAATGACGTGATGAACGTACCGGCACTTATCCGCACAAGAACTCGCGCCAAGTCCACAGTTCTTGACGCAGTTGTTTCCCCACTGCTGGCAGATGTAGAACGGCAGAGTCTGGCTGTACTCGGTGACGTTGGGGGCCACGTTGTTCTCGCACACGCAGCTGTACTGGAGCGTGTCGGCGTCGCACTCGTTCTCGTTGGTGGTCATGGATGTGACGCCGGGTTGTTGCAGGCAGATCAGAGGACATTGGGATTTCTGGTTGAGGCACCATGCGTCTGGGACATGTTAGCTTGGAGAAGGGGAAATGGGATGGGCAAGACGGACCTCGGTCGCTGGAAGAGACGCTATCTGGGTCGATGGTGTAGGGGTAGTTGAGCTGGGGCGTGTCCTGGGCGGCGGCGAGGCTCGCGAGAGCAGCAATGCTGAAGGTGATGGCGGAACGCATTGTGGTTGAGTAACGGGTGGTTGCTGGTTGACGGGTGTTGGTGATAAACGTGGCAGAGGCGACTGTTTTTATACAATGAGCATTGTTCCGCGTGGCAAGGGTCCAGGAATGCACTTACGACTCTCGGGGTGGAAAAAGTGAAAGTTATGTGGTAGAGTATTACAACAGTGATTATTATATCGTCAGCGACAGGCAGTTCGAGAGTTGAACGAGGGACTCTTCAAAGATGAGGCGAGCGAGAGGTGGTCGGGTGATGAGAGAGGCTGAACGGTTCATATATACGGGCGGACAGACTAGAAGGGAGCGAAACTATGAAGCTAGCGGAGATCGAGGGCGGGTCCATGCTTCTGATATCGTGGACGTGCGCGTCCCCGCGTCCAGTCTCATCTGGCCGAGTCCCGGTCCAATAAATCGGCGCCGCGGATGCAACACTGCTGCAGGTCTCGCCGCAAAGACATGTCGTGATGCAGGCGGCGGCATCGTTGCCCAAGGGAGCAGGAAGCGTGAATCCGTGGAGCAGCAGACGAGACGCCAGCCGAAGTGTTTTGGGAGCAAATCCCCCGGCGACAGGGATGGGCCGACCGCTCTTGCCTCTTTGGCCACTTGCTGGCCCGCTTTCTGCCCACACCACTCGCAAGGGTCCATGGGTCTATCGCGACGCCTGTCTAGTGTCAGTTCGCCTGCGCATCATCTGGCCTGTGGTGCTCGGCAGCCAAGAACGCCATCTCTTTTCCCTATCATCGAGCTTGATGTCCGTCGAGACAAAGACACTAGGTTTGCATAGTCCACCCTCCCCTCTTCCTTCATAACTCAATCCTCATATCTGGGTTGCTATACCATCTCCTTTGCCGTGCCCGCCACCCGCCCAGCACGCTACTGTAAATGGATGGAGCCGGCGAGCCTTTTACCTGACACGCACCACCGCACTCCCTCGCCGACTCGTGATGCGTCGGTCGCCACGGTTCGTCCAGAGCGCAATAGCGTAGTCCCGCCGTACTGGCAGCACCACGGGCGGCATCCCAGTCGTATGAGCTCCTACTCTACCGACGGCCATCCGACTCCCATCTCGCTCGAGGACCACACCGAGGACGGATCCGAGCAGAGCAAAGGCCTGTGGGCAAAAGGTGTGACGATTGATGATCACGTCGTCGTCAGCGGGGCGGCACCCGGCTTGGGCGCCTATGTCGTCTTCAACTGCACTGTTGAGACGCTCGATGTAAGTCACCGGGAGCCGCATGTGAGGACGATTGAAAATGGCTGTTCGACCCACCTCGATATGCACTTGTCAAAACCCCGCAGCCAATCGATTGCAAGGGTCTCTAGACTCATGCATGTCGTGGCTTGCTTGATGTGTGGGGGGAAATGCAGCTGCGGGAACTTTCGATATGTCTGAGCAGCGCTGACCACATTGCAGGGTGGTCCCATGAAGATACGAAAAAGGTGTGTAACATGCAGATTGGAATTCATTGACACGGCTGATAGCGTATCCGATAGATACTCGGAATTTGAAGATCTGCACCAAAAGCTCGTCCAGACATTTCCGCATGCCGTGAGCTCCATGCCGCAGTTCCCGCCAAAATCCGTCATCTGTAAGCCAAAGTTCCCCCGCCTAGCCCATTAATTCTAATAGTTACAACTAGCTCGCTTTCGACCTCGTTTCCTGGAGAGGCGCAAGAACGGTCTCAATTATTGGTTAAAGTTGGTTGCATCGGCAATGGCGCTAGTGAATATCGACTGACCTATTAATAGCTGCATCCTACTCAACCCCGAATTTGCTGCATCACCAGTCTTGAAAGAGTTTTTGTTCTCATGAGGCTTGACCAGAGTGGAAGTCTAGTATACGGCGTGGCAAGAGCTTTGATGTGCTGCTTAGCACCCTGCCGTCTGGATGTGTCTAGGTCTTGCTCTTCTTGTATATAAATTCTGCTAATGTGTAATGACATGCGAATCGAAAACTTGACTACTACGACATGCGAAACTTTGTTCCGACACGCGAAGGTCGGTCATTTGTCGGCAGCAGGAACCTCTCACCTCTCACGTGCTCTCGAGAGACGCAGTGACGTCTTGCGAAATATCTCGCCTGCAGGCTTTTGATTGGTCAATCGCCCTCGTAGCGTGCTGCGATTTCAAGGTTTTCGGAATTGCTGCGCGTCTATTCGCTGAGATATTTCCTAATTTCTTCTTCCTTCGTGCCTGTCTGAGAAGTGAAGGGAAGCTTAATTCAACTGCAGGCACGATTGCGTGAGGTTTTGTAATTGTGAAGCTATCCAAGTGCAGCAGCTCGCCTGCGAAAACAGCCTTCGGAGCTCGACCACCCCCTAACCGTCGCGTTTTGCCTTGACCACGCCCGGCGCGCATGCAACGGCCGTTCAACGTCGCAATGCATTGAAAATGATAGCAGCCAACGCGACAAACATCCAGCAAAATCATGGCCAACGTAGTGCGGCCGCGCGTGCCTTCTGCGACAGGCAATGGTGAGCGCCAGACGCGCCTCAACTTCCAACCGATACGTCGCGCGCCCGACGACGCCCCTCCCAATAGCACCAGCACCACCCCTCCCTCTGTTGCGACCCGCCGGACTAGCAAGGGCAGCCAGCTGCTGGCCCTGGGCGACGACGAAAAGTCGGTCAAGCAGATAACCCTCACGCCACCCAAACCTGCTGCTGCTACTGCTGCTGCTCCTGCTGCTGCTGCACCGCTATCTCGCATCAACTCGCGCAAGCGGCCACTGGCTGACGCGACAACGCCCGACACACGACCTCCCACCAAGATCACCGTTACACAACCCCACGGCGAGCTGCTGCGCATCACGAATGGCGTGCCGGCGCCCATTGGCATTGATGCCGACGATGTGCCGTCTGCGAGGTCGACGCCGCGGCCAGGCAGCGCGGGCAAGACGACGCCTGCTGCTGGACCGCAGGACAAGAGGAGCCTGAGGAGCCACGATGGCGGATCACGGCTGAAATCCGACCTGGCGACATACTTTGCGAGCTACGATGACATAATTGCTGGTGTTTCCAAGCCGGCGGGTATGTGCATCATGTTCCAATGGGGGCGATATATCTGACATGTCCCCAGAGTTTCTCGACTACGACACGCCCATATACATACTCGATGAGCCCATAAGACCGACATCGCCACGGGCCTCTCGCAGCTCTCTCAGTCCAACACGCTCACGCAAGCGCAAAGCCTCGCCCGCCCCAGACACGCCCTCCCACTCCACGACCTTCCATGTGCTAGACTACGCCTCCAGCCTCAACAGCGTGTGCAACGATGCCGCCTCCGACCCTCTCGCCGACGCATTCTACTTTCCGCACCACCGCCGCGCCGAGCGCAAAGAGAAGCAGCTCCGCAACATCGAGAAAGAGCGCGCCATGCACGAGAAGCTGCAGCTCGAGCGCCTCCTCGACGGCCTTCAGGGTCCCGATTGGCTGAAGGTCATGGGCATAACCGGCGTGACCGACGGCGAGCGCAAGGACTGGGAGCCGAAGCGCGACTTTTTTATAAAAGAAGTCGAGGCGCTAGTCGACAAATTCCGCATCTGGAAAGAAGAAGAGAAGCGCTTACGCGCGGAGAAAGAAGCCGCCGCAGCAGCAGCCGAGGAATCTTCCGAGGAAGAAGAGTCCGAAGAGGATGAGAAGGAGCTACCCACACGCACAAAAACACCGGTACCTAGACGCCCGCCACGCCCGCATGGCTTTCTGCTGCCCTTCATACCGCCTGAACCCACGACGCCGTTTCTCGGGTTCTACGCCAAGACGCCGCATTTGCGTGCCGCCGCGCTGGGCAAGAATCGCCATGGACGGAATCTCACGGCGTTCGGGCTGCCGATACCCGAGCCTGAGGAGAGGGAGTTTGAGGTGCCGGACGAGTTTAAGGATCCGAATGTTATGCGGGATAATGCGAGGCAGCGGCGGAGGAGGATGAGGGAGAGCAGGGCAGAGGCGAAGGACTGATTTCTTCTCTGTCCTAAGAGACGGGAGGAGCGATTGGCGTTTACATAAGGAGGATGGGCTTTGTGATATATTGAATGGGTGAAGGCGGGATTGGGGGAGGTATATATTACTCATTCGCCCGGAACAAGAACAAACAGCATCATGGCTACATTCAGACTCTAGTCACATTTCTCACGCCATCAATCAGCTCTTCTCCCATCATGCCACAGTGCGGTCTGACACGCACGCGTGGTTGTTCCGATACGGCGTGTCATGGCTGCTCGGTACATATCCTCTCCCTCTCGCACATCTTGCACGTGGATGCACAGGCTTGATTTTATCACCGCTCGAAGATGGGATGTGATAGAGGCGAAGGTAATGGACGTAGGCGTGGGGAATACACACTCCAGTACAGTCAGATGTAGACGAGTGTTGATGGGTATGTATAAAACACAGCTATGTTCCAGCGATTAGTGGAACGTGGCATCTGACATACTCGTGATGGTCTTCTACCCTCCTATGCAATGTGGGGTCTGAGCCATGCTGCAGAACATCTCGCGATGGAGAAGATTGGCTTTGGGAGTGTCTTGGTTTGATGCACTTTCTTTCATTGGCGAGCTGCGAGATGGAGGGTGGTTAAGAAAGGTGGGTTTAAAGGGCCAAGGTAGAACTCGGGAGGCGAAAGAGATGGGAGATGATTGGAGGTAGAAGGTAGGCAGTACGGAAGTAGGAGAGCGAGGCGAAAACAGAAGCAGGGGGGAAATTAAGTAGGACGAGGGGGAGAAGATGTACGTGTTATCATTTCCACCTGTTCTTCACTTATCATCTTCTCTGGCGTTTGATTCCATGTCATTTCTGCACTTGTGCTCATCTGCGCTACTTACAGGCTAGGCTAAACAGGGCTGTATATCTGCTCGGGCGCGACCCAGATAAGAAAAAAGGCTGGCATGTTGGTTTCATCGTGTCTTACGTGACTTTTCGGTGACGAGGAGCCTTGCAAGACGCACTTTTACTGGCTCGTAGTACCAAGCGATCCGGCATGTGGAGTTGAAGACGGTGCTATCGCGTGATCACTCGCACTGGTTGGATGGCAGCGAATTATTCGAGGCATATTGAGTGGGTGAATTCTGCGGGGTGTGTCTACATCTTACTGTGTGCGTGTTGTAAGAGGGGTTTCGTGAGGCATGTCCGGCACGCTGAATCGGAGGATATTAAGTGTCAAGTTTGAACCGTCGGTCTAATCAATAAGGAGGATTGGATTTCCCTCTCACTCTAATCGCGGGACATGGTTGAGGTACGTTATGCGATGCAACTTGTGGTTCCAAAGCGTGTAGGCAATTCCAACGATGCAGTATACTTCTTCAGTACAAGTGGTTCTAACATCTGCTGAAGTCATCCATCACGTGGACATGTCGCCGCCTCGCCATGTCAGAGCCGATGCTCTCACATTCACCGTCCTTACTTCCCAAATTGGCTAGCCGTGGCGCTAGTCTTGAGGCCCAAGCTTCTTTACACAACGAGATAAAGTCGCGCTTCCTCTGTCGCTCACCACCTCCAATATTTCGTCCACCTCCGCCGCGAAAAGCTTCGAAAACCTACACCTGAACAACACGCACCTGAACAACACGCACCTGAACAACACGCACTTGAACAACACACACTTGGACAACCCAGCGCAACAACGATTCCGACAACAGAACGGCACTCCGATTTTCGACCACACTGGATCCACTGGACTCACTACAACGCCTGTGCTTCGACATCCCCTAAGCCGCCTAAGGTGAGTTGTCCCAAAGGACCCCCCACTAATGAACAAACACAACACAGAGTCTTTGACTCTCTTGATCAAGTACTTCAAGATATCATTCACATCTTGGAATGAGTAGGTCGCAACTTGTTGCTTCCGGGCTCGCCTTGATGGCATCATACCGAGTCAGAGCGGTGATGCCTTGCTTGCAAGTGAGTGAGCGGGAAGGTGTCGCGTATATAGAGCGCGCCATCAAGCCCGTCGATGATACTGGCAGGATGACGCAAGTTCACCCCTAGTCCCTCGTCGCCATGTCACAGTTCACAATCGTGCTCGTCGCTCTGCCTTCTTAGTCGCATAAACGAACTGGCTCGTAAGTGCGGTGCGAATAAACCACCCTCAAAAGTGGAGTCGCACACGGTTGGATTGGGATCGCAACCAACTTCAAGGATTGTTGTTGCTATGGCGGCAGGACCGCTCTTGCACAATGCCAGGCTGTGATGTGGTTCGTGTCACCACGAAGTCATTCTTTTCATTGTGTTTTGATCCATTGGGTCTGACTCGAGGAAGATACCGGCAAACCATCCTGGATCTCGTAATGGATGCTGCTATGCAATGCGTAGAGGCGGCGTGCCAAGCTCTTCACTCACCTTGCTGCTACACCTTGTAACGATGGAAGATAACAATGTTCCATAGGATGAAGCATTTCATAAATGCATCACAAATTCATCTCAACATCACTGCACTTAGTCATTTCCAACTTTCTAAATTTAAAAAGACAATCTCAATATGATCCGGTGCACTTATGATCATCGAGACTGGATCTGACTGTGCTATGTGCTTCCACGAGATTATCGGCGTGCCTGTCAAGAACTTGCTATTCTGTCCTTGGGACAGACTGCTTCCGAAGCATAAACAGATACTTATACTGTCATTGTTTGGCTTGATGAAGGATGCCTGAAGCCAGCCGGGTGCAGATTTCGTGGCGTAGAATAATCCCATAATAGAAACTACTGACCCCACTTCGCAGTTAGTCAGGAGGGAAACCATCAGCCGGTGTAACTGTTAGTGATGAAAGTTGGCGGGGTGTAAGTTATGTGCACTAAATGCGGCGATAGCCTTGGAACTGGTGTGTGCTGTATATAAGAACTATGGACGGAACATACAAAGCCGTGTAACTTCGTTACCCTTTCAGTGCTTCTTGATATCCTAACAATCTATCGAATGTGTCCACGCTAGAACATAGAATGACAGCGCTTTCCTAAAAGTGATGTGACTTCCAACAGGAAGCGCACATATTATCGCAGCAAACGTTGACTATGCTCATGCAGAGTTAATGGTCGGTATGAGCTCTTAGTTGGAACCCATTGTCTTCGAGTCTCAAGGCTACTGCCATCTTCGCAGCCCGTCCCATCACTTCACTCTTCTTGTCCATTGGCCCATGTTCTCTTAGCAAGCGCTCATTTAAGCCATTGAATAACTCTGCCAGGCTCGATATCTTCCAGGGTCTTCGGCCAGGAACTGTTGAGGTATTTCGCTTTGTCAATCCAATCATGTCGTTCTAAGGCTATGGACAAAGTGCAATTTCCTGTGGAACACTGGAACTCAACAGCCTGTGAAATGTTTAGAAGGCCAGCATACATGGTACCGCTCATGCCAGACTCTACAGCTGACATTTCGAGATCAGTGCCATAGCCAAGTTCAGTGCAATTGTTTGGGCGAGCAACTTTAGCTACCAGTCCTAGCTGCTTTCTGCTGCATATAGCTTGGTGACTAATCTGCTGAGTGAAAGGCTTAATAGAAAGCCTCAGGGCAGTTATAATTGCGCCAAAAGTATATAAGAGACTGCAATCTGGTTTAGCAAAGTCTTATAATCCTTCCTGAAAAGACTCACTCAGTCTTTAGCTGAATTGTCGGCAAGAAAGCTCCCAATGGACCTCTACAGGCTAAGTCGAACGATTCAAAACATATACGCTGATCCAAGTATCTGAGCCTCTGCACCGTCTCTTGAGGCGAAACAAAAGTCAAGTTCATAAACTTCGTACATCCATTGTATTTCCAGGTTAACACAGGGCCCATCCAACTGTCTCACTGGTAGTGAGTCAATGCATCGCCTCAAAGGCTCCAGGAGCGGCTCGCTGCTCAAAGTTGGATCTTGCAAGGCCTTCAAAGCTGCTGTCGCGGCGTTGCGGGCCACCAAAGTCATAATCAAATTGACTTGCATTTCAAGAGCCTGCTACTTGGCGCCCGTCTCTTAGCTCAATACTACTACACCTCCTGTACCGACTACAACGATTATGATTCCGGTGCCGTTGATAGTGTTCACGGACAAACATGATAAACTCTGTTGACTGTATAGTCATGATCAAGTTGAATAGAGTTTGAACATGCAAAGTAGCAACTCTCGCAGCCGGCTGCTATCATTCAATTGGTCACCACCATGTACTCAAACACCAGCATTTGTGACTTGGTCGCTGAGATACAGCGGCATATACTCTGGCTGTTGCGAGAATAAAATCTAAAGGTCGGACTAAAGCCGAGCCATTTGAATCGATAGCTGCCCAAGTGGCAAGCCTGACTGCCGCACACCGCGCAGGAAAATTCACGTCAACGGGGTTCTGTTGCGTGCAGCATGTTGCCTATTATTGTAATGTTGATGGCGGGATTAAAAGCATGCTACGGAAGTGGCAAGTCTTCCAGGTGAAAAGAGACGCACATGACGTTGTCAGCAATTTGGTGAAAGTGAAAGTGAAGATGCTCAATTTTTCTCTTGCCGTCTCCTACGCGTCAGTAGACTGCGACTTCTGTTCTACACCCTCACACCTTCTATCCACCTCCAAATTTCGACATGGCTACAATTCTGCACCAGGCCTACATTGGTACCTATGCCAGCGACACCGAAACCGTCATCATTTGGTCCGAAAATGGCGTCCTCCACATCAAGCAGCGCAATGCGCCTGGAGATGAGGAGTACCTCATCGAACAGCACCCGGTCACTTGCTTGGGTTGGCCTGCGAATCTGTTCCCCGTGGGACGATTGGCTCCCAATCTATGCAAAATTCGCCCTAAACATCATAAGGGCAGCGCAGGCCACATGGTCACCTTCTTTCGTTCCGCATCTGCTCCCGACATGATCGAGAAGTTCTACTGGAGAACCAAACGCACTTCCAAGACGATGTGCTTCATCAGGGACAACAGCTCACCGTTGATCCGCCTCCCGAACGAACTTCAAAAGTTCATCTACGACTACGTCCTCTCGACCGATAACATCCTGGAGGGGGACCTTCATCTATTTGAAGAACATGGCGTATTCCGCTTCGCAGAGACAGCTGTGATGCCTTTCGGTAGTGAGCGCAAGCGGTTTGAGGGTGATACCTCTACTCTCCCTTTGGGTTTCAACAATTTGCAGTATGTCTGCAGGCACATTAGGGCCATGACAAGAGGTCTAGACCTCCACAACAACCACATCAAGTGCCATGGATGGACATTCGATTCATTTCACCGCAATCTCATCAACGCATCCCTCCTGTCTAGCATCCGAAAAGTCACCCTGTATGGTGACTTCACTCTTGGACATTGTCCGGACGAAAACGTCCTCCATGGTCTCATCAAGTTCGGGTTCGACCACCCCAAGGCCACCATTAACATTCACGTGGAGGCCTGGCAGCCACAGGGTACCAACGAGACTACCATGGGCAGCTTCATGTCTATGGCTTACTGCATTCGCGAAGCCATCCGGGGTGAATTGAGGCCAGCGTGGTCCTCGGGCAACGACAAGAGGCTGAGGGCTTGGATGAGGAACAAGGCCCATGGTGCGCTGAATGCACCAAATGTCAAGTTCTTCCCGTATCGCTCCCCGAACTGTACGGATGCACAGTGGTGCCATCCCAAGGTCTTGAACATTTTGTTCAACGGCACGGATAGGTACACCCCCTTTGTGAACGGACATGTTGGCACCCTGCACCTGGTTTATACGGTGAGGAGTTGGTATTTGGCTGGGATCTAGAGCTTTTGGGCTGTTCAGGAAGCTCATAAACATGTCAGCCATCATACTAGCTACAATGTACGCTGCGACGGGTGCATTAGATCTGCCAAGCTCGTCACAGTCACTTGTCCGAGGAATTGCACCTGTTAATCTTGATTATACCCTGTGACATGTGACATAATGCACGACCTGATGAGTGAAAGCCTGGAGGGCAAGCGCGAGGACAATTATGAGAGTACTAAGAGCGCATATATGTCTATATGTGCTTCAGTAGAGTCTAATCACTCGTCTTAGTTGCACTCACCACATTTTAAGCTGCATCGGCAGCAGACAAGCATCCCATGGTCCTCTACTGGCTGGGTCGAACGATGCAAAATTTTGATTGTGGTAGCAAGCACAGCCAACGCGCTTCCGCTGATTCATGTTCGGGCCAGGATTTTTTGGGGCCGACTGATAAGCTGATAGGTCCTAGAACCGACATGGTGCTGTCGAGGTCATGGTCCTTGATTCGTAGCTCCGTGTAGCTTGCTAGAGCTGCTTTGTCAAACGGTTCAAAATGTAGGAAATGATTATCCTCTGCCTCGTTGGGAACGCTGGCAGCGTCGTTGCTTTGATATATCTCAGCTGCCCCAGTGTTCGACACATCTTTGGCGGCAGAAGTCTATTAGACCCGGTAGCTCTTCCACAGCGAACTTGTAGCAAACCTGCGATTACCAATATATTGCAGTGAAGGTAATTTCCCCGTCAATTCCTGGCGTGATAGTCATCCAATGTCCCCTGGGTTGACTGTCCTGTTGGGAGCAGTGACCGTGCGTCATCTCATGGTGAAGGCAACACTATCGATAGCAAACGAAACTCCCGCTACCCTTGATAATCCTCTCACAAACTCTGCGCACCACGCATCGGAAGAGCACTCTCCAACTTCAACCGGACCATTCATCTCTACCAGTGCGCAACTACTAAAAGCCTCTCAGCACTCGGAGCAAAGAACACATTCACGCGCAAAATCTCACACTTCACCTCGGCGCATGATCTACTACCAGTGCTCTACCGAAGCGCTCAACCTCGAAATTCGACGCCGTGGCTACATATTCATCGGCTGTCGCGACCAGCTCAGTGAGGCCCTACAAACAGACGACAATGTCCGGGGCTCAGATGCCACAACGGTGACGACAGAAGTCTCGGGTCCCTTTGTGCCGCGCGAGCTCAACTCATCGCGCACTGCCGAATTTGGAAAAACAGCGATGGTCAATTCGCTGGTGGGCGAGAGTAAGTGAAATGGTAATGCGACTTCTGCGTGGCTAACAATTGTAGAAATCGTGTACTGGTCGATGAACACATTCTTCCCAGTCCTGCAACTATTCTTTGAGTCTGGTCGATCATGCATCATCGATGGTGGCCGTCTTTCCAGCGCGGAGATTGGACTCGACCCTGCGCTGCGCTTTCGCCTTACCGAATGTACTTATGAGGAAGACGGACGCATTGTGAAATCCATACGTCCTGAGCGGTTTGCCCACACTGGCGGCGGAATCCGGATCCTTGAAGCTATCATCGCGCAGCGGAAGAGTATTGCGGTAAGATCTCAAGCATCTGGAACTGGTGTCTATACACCTCTGCTTACCGGATCAACAATCGTTCATGAGATCCACACTGTGGTCGGTTTGAAACTCGACGGCATGAGAGATGTGGCCTACGTGTGGGCGAAATCATCAAATTCTTCCGCTACGGGCGAGAAGCACTGGGGGGACGTTAGACCTGCTGGTCCTAGGGACGATATCCCAGCTCCTTGTCTCGGCTTTCCCATGCACCTGATCAAGCCCGGTTGCGAAGTCCCGGTATTTTCTAAAGAGTGCCAGGTCAGCATTGGTCGCTACTGAGACGATAACGAGGGTTTGTGTACGTACTGCGACAGTCCGGGTTGGAATCCAGTTAGGGTGGAAGCGAATGGATAGTGAGGCTTGGTGGTCTTCTATGTAGCCGTGTTATACAAAAGTGCGAAAATACTGTATTTTTAGTCTATTGCTAAATGCAAGTTCTAAGTATGACTGCTCTTCGCCAGTATGCAATAATTGCTGTTTCTTACAGATGTCTCTCAAATTCCATGAATGCTGGGAACAGTGAACTGGCTCCTCCCACGGAAGATACAAAGTGAGCTGCCTGGCAGACCATTTATGTCAGGGAAAACGTAATGTAGCTGATGCCGATCATCAGGAGACTGCAGTGTAAGATACGATCCAGTGAATAAGATTACGTGTGGAATCGTGATTTGCTTGTCATTTTCGCGAAGTTGGAGCTAGGAATCAGATCGCTCTTCTTGTCAGTTGTTAAGTTCATTAATTGCATAAGCTACATAAACTAAATGCAAACGTATCGACAAACCGAAAAGCTGCTCTTACCTCACATGTATCCAAGGCTTACACATGGCCTTTACCAGACCCTGGTGCTTCACTTTGCGACTCTGCCTTACTACCCGCTTGGCTGCCAATCTTCTCCAAAAACTCGTAGATCTCAGTGTATCCTCCTAGCCTCGCAAAATCTGCGGCTGTGAGTCCACCCTCATCTTTCACATGCAAATCCGCCTTCCACGTCACAAGTAGCTTCACCACGTGAAGGTAGCCATAGCTTGCTGCCCATATCAATGCCGTGCGGCCTGTGCGATCTTGACGGTCGATCTTTACGTGTTTATGTCTGAAGTATGGCTTCGATTATACCAGGCGATTGGTTAAATAGCGCCCATAGCAGTGGCGTCCAGCCGTCAATGTCCACGTCGTCCTCTCCACCACACTTGTTCTGGATGAGAAGGTCCAGAACTTTTGTATCGCCAGTCTGAGATGCCCATGAGATCGTATTTTGTAGGTTGTTGTCTTTGGTTGCTTTGTCGACATGCTGGATGCGCAGCAGATCATTGGCCGCTTCTCTTTGCTTATTTACCACAGCCCAAAGTAGTGGAGAGCGGCCCTCTTTATTCTTCAAATTCACGTCAAGAACAGAAACAGACTCTCGAATTATCACGTTCATAGCCTTTCGGCTGCCTTCGCCTGCTGCCCACGACAAGGCCGAGCATCCAGATTTGTCGACTTGATTGATGTCGAGAGGCGAGTCCTTCAGCTTCAGAAACAAACGAACAATATCTGCGTGGTCTCCCTGGACGGCCCAGAAGAATGGTGTCCAGCTTGTGTAATCCTGATCGTCAGGCTCATATGCTCCATGGTTCAACAACGATTCGACCACGTCCACGTGTCCGTTGCCCGCTGCAAATGACAGTGCTGTCCTTCCCAGACTTGCCTCCCAACGTAACTGTCGTGTTTAGATCGTTCAGAAGCATATTTACGACCTCGAGATGACCGTATTGGGCGGATACGGTTAAGGGTGTCTGCTGATCGATGGCCGCACTGTTGGGGTCCGCGCCGTGCCGAATAAGGAGTTTTATTGACCCCACTGATGACATTCTAGCAGCCCAGAACAAAGCACGAGCCATTGTACCTTCGCCATGACACTCATGTTGCAAATGTTCGGTCAGAAGGGCGGTCAAATTGAAGAATGCGGCGATTTCAATGGGCTGGAACTCGTCTGGAAAAGAGTATTCGAAATTGTGTTTGGCCCAGTAGTACCTGAACCAATTATTCATGACGCAACTACGGCTCGTCAGTTGCCGGGCAGCGTCAAGGGTAGCCTTTGGTGCGACACTTTCGCACATAGCATAGTGCTCTGCCCAGTGCGTTGCAGCATAATCAAAAAGCGCATGTTTCTGGGCAATAGAAGTTATCTGCTCCTCCTCTATATCCTTCGTTTCTTTGAAGGAATCACAGAGGCCAAAATCGTCCTCTGGACCGAAAAGTTGGATAGCACCCTTGGTGTCAGTATCAGTGAGCAAGGATGCTTCGGCACTGGTCGTTCCCGGCTCTGAAGATCCTGGTCTGCTTTCTGGCGTAAAGATATCGGAATTGAAATCCTGTAGAAGGAGATATTGCATACATGATTGGGCCATACTCAGTGCTGCATCTATCTCAGGAACCGCGAGACTTTGCACAGTCTCGTCAAGAGAACGGATGGAAAAATCTGTCAAATACTCCTTGGCAGACTGGTGTATCAGCGAGACTTTCGCATAGTCATCCGAGATTTGATCGGCATCCTTGATACGGATGAAAGGCCCCACAATTATTTCGTAGTTTGCTTGCTCTGTGTTCATCCAAGAGCCTCTTGATAGCCTCCAGCAATCTGTTGCGGCTCCCAGTTTCGCACTCGTCAAGAGCGTCCACTATGATTCTGACAGATCCAGATGTCGATTCCGAAACAACCTTGAGGAAGAGTTCCCACAGCGCCGAGAATGAAGATGCTAGACTTGGTCCTTCCTGATCGAAGCGGTGCTTTACATACTTGATGAGGTCTCGATGTAGCCGTACAATCTGCCAGATGATACCTCGAAGTATGGACTTTGGATCTCTCTGCAGTTGGATCTTGTCGTCACAGAAGAAGAAAAAAACCTGAGGCTTGACAAGGGTAGTACTATCGAGTTCCAGGTAATCTGTAAGATACACAGAGATCATAGTCTTGCCGCTACCAGGTTCACCTGTGACCCAGAGCAAGTCTGATTCGGTGGTGTTCTTCCATGCCAGAAAGGCAGGGTTGTTGAGAACCCAGCTGCAAGTCCCCTGTACTGGCTTCGGTAATTGCGCTTTGTAGTCCACAAGGTAGATCGAGTCCAGCACGGATCATGCAAGATCGTTCAGTCTCGGTGAAGGCTAAAATTTGCTTAGCTGCTTGTTCTCTCGTAGATTGTTGTTGCAACATACATTCGATGGACAATACACGATTGACTCTCGTAGCCAACTGCTTGCTGGATAGAATGCTTTTGACAACATCTTCGATTGCGTCTAATGCCAGACTGCAGCTGCCATCCTTTGGCCCTTCAAAGCGGCCACATACTTCTATGATTTGCATGAAGTGCTATGATCATCCTCGCCGGGTATCTGCATAATCGCCGGAGCTTCCTTTCAACAATCCTAACATGAGAAGTAAGCTAGACCTGTTTCAAATCATACACGGCAGACTTTGCCTTACCAGGTCGGAAAATCCCTGCATGGTTTGCGTCTCATAAAAGCTAACGACTTCCAGGTTCTCCATGCGGTTCCGTGAAGATTCGGCGAGTTCATTCTGTGCTTGGGCATCGAGCCCTAAGGTAAACAGAAGGTCCTCTCTCATTGAACCTGCTCGTAATTCGCCTTTGAATCACTAAAGACCACTTCAGACTGATAGCTGTAGGTGTATATGCGCGAACCTGGAAGGACTTTTGGAAGAATGTCTCGAAGCCACAGATTCCCATTCTCATGCTCCCATGTTGCATAGGCGTCTCCATTCAGGCCATGTATGGCCACGATATCTACGCCATACCGGCTACTGGGGTCGCCAGAGGACTCCTCGCTAAGAAGAAAAATTCCATACTGTTTTGTACGTGTGGTAGTGGCTGTGGAGATCGTTGATTGAGCACAAGACTTCGTATCGACCCATGTTAGATATGCATACGGCAAGGCTGTGCAGGAACTGCGGGACACAAAGGAAGAGCTATTTTTCTATACCCCACAGCACAGAGTCACCATCAAAGGTATGTTGTTATTCGAGCTCTATGGTCATTAGTTGTTTTTCAGATTGCAAGCGGTACCAGACAAGATTTGTCGTGTCGTGAACCATGTTGGATAGCTAGGTTCAAAGTCTTTCTACTACATTGCGAAACGCGACAAAGGCATTTAAGCTGTATGGGCTGATCTACGGAATTTTCCAATGCGCGCAAGCATACACGAATGATCGCGCCGCAGCTAGTGGCCTCGCGGTATGAAGTCGCGATGCAGCCTAAACTAGGTACCTAGGTAGCGCCCGGAATCCAACCGATGTTATTTCTGCACATGGCATTTCGATACGAAATACACTACTTCTTGATCTTCGCTAACACAACTTACAGACCCGGTCCTCGACACCGACATCAACGCCAACACTGATGGTCTCATCCTTGTCCTGCGATTACCCAACCCGTGCAATCAACCGCTGCTCCCCGAAACCATCATAACGCAACTCAAACAAGCAAGTCCGGTCTTTGCGCAAAAGAATCATAACTAGTGCTTCTTAGTAAGCCCCCAATACGTTTGCGGATGCAGTTTGCCATTACCATAAATCCATCCACCGCAAGTCCGGTGCGCCCATGCCTTGACATGAAGATTGATGGTAGCTTTATGATAGTTACACCGGACTTTGATCAGGCCATGTAGGAGATTTTTGTCTGTACGCTCTCTAAGAGTAAAATTACTACATAAAGCAACTCAGCAGGTGCAAGATAGCAGAGATGCGTGAATTGATTTGCGATGAGATGAACGAACGAAAAGTCTGAGTATTGCACTTACTATAGTTGGTGTAAAGATATGGGCGTCGTATCATAACCCTTGCGTGGTTGTGGACACACTGCAAGTTGTTAAAAGCCGCGAGAAGAGCAGTGACATCGCTTCCAAAGCGCTCACTCGCAAGGGTGCCATGACAGTCGATGTAGCAGAGACTCTGTATTGTAGGAAACTTTCACAGAGTCCTAGAGTTGTTCGCTGCTTCACCTAACACTATGACTTTGTCTCCTAGGAGAATGTCGTCGTCTTGCTGGATTATTCAAACGACCGTTCCAGCAACTTGGGAATTTAGCGTGTAGACATGCCGCGGTGCTAGCATGATGCAATTCTACTGGCGCATAGAGGAGATGAGCACATTGCGCTGTTCAGAGTTAGCCAGCAATGAGCCTACTCGGGACGGCAAAAGCAGTGTACAGCCTTAGATTGGAGAGATGTGCATATGAAATGTACCAGGTCTGGATAGGACAAGCACTTCGACTGGATGTTCACCGTTGGGCTGTAATTCTCTACGGTAGCTTGTTCCGACCTGTGATCAGGTATGATGTCGAGCTATCCTCGCGCACCTCACGTGCGCCTATCATCTTGCGTGGACTCATCCGCCACACGACCTTGTCTACCTTCATCTGAAGATCCACTGATTCACATATCTCGCCTCTCAATCCACACTCAAACTCCCTCCGTCTTCTTCTTCTTTTTATCTTCGATCAACTCGACATTGTCCTCGGGCACCTCCTCATACTTATCCACCAGAAACTCCAAGATATCCTCGCTCAAATCGCCCTGGACCGTAATCTCCTCTCCGCCACCAGGTATCTTAGTCACGCTCGAGCCCGTCGCGAATTTCTTGCCAAAGTCCTTGGCGACCTTCTTGATGTCCAGGCCGAAAGCTTCCAGACCTTGGACGGCGGTGACGTATTTGCGCTTGTTGCGCTCGATGCGCTTAATCAGGATCTTGGAGGAGGCGAGCTCTTCAGCGCGTCGGGCTTCGGCAGAGGCGGCTTTTGCAGCTTTCTTTTGGGAGTCTTTCTCGGCGCGTTTTTGGGCATCGAGGGAGAGGGCGGAGAGGTTTTGTTCTATGGTTTCTGGGAGTAGATTAGTATATGGCTATATACCACGTGGTTATAGACTCTGTGGTTCAGAGTGACTGCAGAAGTGGTGCGCGCAGTGGTCATACCTTTGGAGTACAGCTTGCTGTGCATGTCGTCGTGGTTCTCTTCAAGCCATTCCTCGCACTTCTTTGTTGTGCCGCCGAACTCGCAGTACTACAGCAACTTCATTAGTGGTCGAGAGGGCCGTGACGCGTCGCGGTGCCATACCTACTTCTGGTGGTAGACTGCATACTGGAGAGGGTCAGCTGGTGCTGCACAATCTTAGAGTGGAAGTCAGTCTATACCTCCGCAGTACAAGACTTTCGCAGGCGCCGTATCCGCAGACATTTTGTTCGGTGTGATTTGCGAGTAGATCAACGGCAAGAGAGTTGAGGTAGCTGCTCAGGTTTGGCGGCGTTGTAGACGTCTGGCACGCGAGAATTGGAGGGGGCAGCTTGACGCATGGTGGGGTTGCGTGCAGGGGTTGAAGCGCGCATCCCTGCCAGTCGTCCCGAGTCTTTCGGAACGCGACGATCTCACTCCGACCTGATCTTGACAAAATATTCTTGTTGGCCAATAGAAGTCAGGACAGCGGGATCAGCATCTCAGGATCTTGGTATCATTATATTATTTGTTCAAGTACTATCGTGGTGTTTTAGTCTCATCGAGATTTTGTTTACTGCAACGACTCAATGACAATAGCAGAAGCACCTCCACCTCCGTTGCAGATTCCAGCGCATCCGATCTTGCCCTTCTTCTCCTTCAGCACGCCGAGAAGAGTAGTGGTGATCCTGGCGCCGGAAGCACCAAGCGCGTGACCGAGCGCAACGGCACCACCGTGGAGGTTGACCTTGTCCTCACTGATGTTTGAGGATCTTCATGTTGGCAAGGGCGACAACGCTGAAAGCCTCGTTGATCTCGAAAGCATCGACAGCGGACAGCTCGACCTTGGGCGTGCTTGAGAGCCTTGGGGCATAGCAAGGGCTGGGTGCGGTGGTGAACCTTTGGATGGGTTCTGCTTCAGCATCACCCCAACTCAAGAATCTTGCCCAATGGGGCTTTATGGTTGTGCGCCTTGACGTGCAGCCCTCGGAGGCGAGTACGAATGGCAGCAGCACCATCGGACAAGCGGCGAAGGCGTTGGCGGGTGGTGGACGGTTCCGTTCGTCTTGAAAGCAGAGCGCACGGTGCGGGTCTTGGCCTCGTTGAACTATGGCTGATCAGTCAACAAACTCACAATGATAGAAAGTCATGGAAAGAGCTGTGTACTCACGTTCTTTGGCTCGTCATCCTTGTCAACAGTGATGGAGGGCTTGCCGCGTCCCTGGGGAACCTCAATGGGTGCAATTTCCGAGGTGAACCAGCCAGCCTCAGTGGCAGCGATTGCCTTCTTGTATGAACGGATGCAGTACTCGTCCTGCTGCTCGCGGTTGAAGCCGTGGTCGTCGGCGCACTCCTCGCCCTGAAGACCCATATGCTCCTTCTTGTATGCGTCGGTAAGACCGTCCTTCAGCACACCATCGACTAGCGGCTGGTCTCCGAACTTAGCGCCGGTCCTTAGGTTGGGGAGATAGTGAGGGGTGTTCGACATGCTCTCGGTACCGGCGGCGACGACGATGTCGGCATTTCCGGTAATAATGGTTTGCGCACCAAGGATCAGCGACTTGATCGAAGAGGCGCACACCTTGTTGATGGTGGTGGAGACGGTAGACTCGGGGAGGCCGGCACCAATTGCACACTGGCGGGCAGGGTTTTGGCCGAGGCTGTGATGCCAGTCAGCATAGGATGGGAACAGTCATGGAGGGGCATCCGTACCCTGCAGAGAGGACATTGCCAACAAAGACTTCCTCGACATCCTCAGGCTTGAGACCAGCGCGCTCGACAGCAGCTGTGTAAAAGGTTAGCTCAGAAGAAGCTAAGTGACTAGGAGAAAGGTGATCTTACCCTTGATGGCGTGGGAACCCAGCTGAATAGCACTCAAGCTCGAGAGGGAGCTGTTGTGGTTGTTAGTTCACCGCGACTTGCCCCTCCTCTGGTGATCCTGAAAACATACCCCAAGAACATGCCCGTAGGCGTGCGGGCAGCTGAGACAATGTAGACGGGAGGAAGAGACGACATGTTGGGTGTCTTGGATTGAGTGTGAAAAGCAAAGAGACAAACAGAAACCCTTCGCACTTAACAGGGACCGACAATGTTTTCCGATTGTTAGTTCTTTAGCCAGTCGGAGCATGAATCGGAGGGCGCTTGCCCTGCATGACAGGGATGTCATTGGTGACACGCTATCACATCACATCGTTACGGCTCTGTCGGGAATGCTTGCGACGTGCGACCTTGCAGTGGTATCATCAATGCCGTGAATGTTCACATACATACAAATCACTGAGTTCGTCTGGAATTGTCACGTGAGATGGGATTGTCGCCAAGTTGTTCATGGCGTGGCTGTAGCACGCTAAACATTGTTACTCGAGCTCGGGCCGCCGCGGCGCGGCAAAGCATTTCGCCGTTAGCTCCATCTTTTTCCCAGCACTAGCGCCCATAACTCAAGCTCTTTGCGATCGCGTCGTGAATTGCTGCAATTACGCGTACTGCCACCATGGACGACCTTTACGACGAGTAAGTCGTACAACCGTGACGCTGAGATATACGCGACTGACTTGCACAGATTCGGAAACTTTATTGGCGAGGCCGAGTCTGATGAAGATGATCAGACTAATGGCGAGGCAGCGGACGCCTATGTCCTTGACGATGAGGAGCAAGAAGAGGCCGAGGTAAACGACCAACAGCTTATGGAAATCGATGACGGGCCATCAAACGCCGTCGTACTGCACGAAGACAAGCAATATTACCCTTCCGCGTCCGACGTATACGGCCCCGATGTCGAAATTTTGGTACAAGAGGAGGACACACAGTCGCTGGCGCAACCCATTATTGCGCCTGTGGTGCAAAAGAAATTCATCGCGCAGGAGACGGATCTACCGCCTGTATATCACTCGAGGGAGCTTTTGACCGACTTGATGAACTTTCCTAACCAAATACGAAACATCGCGATTGCTGGTCACTTGCACCACGGAAAGACGGCATTCATGGACATGTTGGTTATGGAGACCCACGACATCCAGGATCGACTGGACTACAAGAAGGGAAAGAAGCGGGAGGAGCAGCTGCGATACACGGACGTACACGTACTCGAGCGCGAACGGGGCCTATCGATCAAGGCCGCGCCCATGAGCTTGGTCTTACAAAACACAAAGTCGAAATCGCACCTCTTCAATATCTTGGACACACCCGGCCACGTCAACTTTGCGGATGAAGTTGCGGCGTCTTTGCGCCTGGTGGACGGTGTAGTTCTGGTAGTGGATGTGGTTGAAGGCGTGCAGGTCAATACCGAGCAAATCATAAAGCACGCCGTCTTGGAAGATCTGCCTCTGACATTGGTTGTCAACAAGATGGACCGGTTGATCTTGTGAGGTGAAGCTACCGCCTAGCGACGCGTACTTCAAGATCAAGCATGTTATCGTGCAGGTCAACACTGTGATTGAGGACACTATTCCAGGCAGAGGCGAAAGCAGGCGTGTTAGCCCTGAGAAAGGCAACGTTGCTTTTGCATGCTCGAGCATGCGGTGGTCCTTCACGATCCAATCCTTCGCGAAAATGTATTCCGACTTCTACCCAGGACCTTCTAAGCTGCCTGGCTTCGGCGTTCCGATGAAGGGCTTAGATATCGAGAAATTCGCCATGCGCTTGTGGGGCGACATCTACTACAATCCCGGTAGCCGCAAGTTTAGTCGCAAGAGGCAGGAGGAAGGTGCGCAACGATCGTTCGTGCACTGGATCCTCGAACCCGTCTACAAACTCTATTCGCACACATTGAGCGAAAGCTCAGCCGATCTGAAGGACACATTGGACGCGTTGGGCATTCGATTGAAGCCATCAGAATATAAGACAGACGCAAAAGAGCTGATGCGACTCGTTTGCCAACAGTACTTCGGTCCTTCGATGGGCTTTGTTGACATGATCACACAGCACGTTCCATCGCCTGCGGAGGGAGCCAAGCGTTTACTGCAAAGACATTACACAGGACCACTGGATACAAAGACTGCAGAGGCGATGGAGAAGTGCGACCAGGATGGACCATTGGTCGTGCACGTCACAAAACTGTTCAACGCGACAGACGCCAAGTCCTTTACTGCACTCGGTCGAGTTATGAGCGGTATCGCAAAGTCCCCACAATCAGTACGTGTGCTAGGCGAAGGTTACACCTTGGAAGACGAGGAAGATATGGTTGTAGCAACGGTGACAGACACCTGGATCGCGGAGTCTCGATACAACATACCTGTCAGCGGTGTTCCAGCAGGAAACTGGGTTTTGCTTGGAGGTGTTGACAATTCCATCGTCAAGACTGCAACGATTGTCGCCTCAAAACTCCCCGACGACGAAGACGCTTACATCTTCCGACCTATCCGACATTTCTTCGAATCGGTCTTCAAGGTCGCAGTCGAACCGATCAACCCTTCGGAACTACCAAAGATGCTTGACGGCCTACGTAAGATCAACAAGTCTTACCCTCTCATCACAACCAAAGTGGAGGAATCGGGAGAGCACGTGGTACTCGGCACTGGAGAGCTGTACATGGATTGTGTCTTGCACGACCTGCGGCGATTGTACGCGGATATGGAGATCAAGGTGTCCGACCCCGTTACCAGGTTCTCGGAAACTGTGGTCGAGATGTCCGCCATCAAGTGCTACGCCATGACACCAAACAAGAAGAACAAGCTCACCATGATCGCCGAGCCTCTCGACCCAGGTATCGCAGAAGACATTGAAGCCGGAAAAGTCAACATCAAGGACCCTGTCCGCGTGGTGGGCAAATTCTTCGAGGAGAACTACGGTTACGATCTGCTTGCGTCTCGCAATATCTGGGCATTTGGACCGGACGAGATGGGACCTAATATTCTCCAGAATGATACTCTTCCTTCTGAGGTCGACACCAAGACTCTCCGCACGGTTCGCGACACCCTTCGTCAAGGTTTCAGCTGGGCAACTCGAGAAGGACCGCTCTGCGAGGAGCCAATCCGCAATACCAAATTCCGCATCACAGACGTCGAACTGGCACCCGAAGCCATTTTCCGAGGAGGTGGACAGATTATTCCTACGAGTCGAAGGGCATGCTACTCAAGTTTCCTGATGGCCAGCCCAAGGCTGATGGAGCCTGTATACTCATGCAGCATGGTCGGGCCCGCAGACACCAAAAGCAGTCTATACACCGTTCTTGCGCGGAGAAGAGGGCATGTGCTACAAGATGGCCCGATTGCAGGTACTCCATTGTACAACGTACGAGGTCTGATTCCCGTCATCGACTCCTTCGGTTTCGAGACCGACCTCCGGATCCACACACAAGGCCAAGTGTCCCTCTCACTTGTCTTCGACCGCTGGTCAATCGTACCAGGTGACCCGCTCGACAAGGAAATCAAGCTGCGACCCCTGGATCCTGCCACAGCGCAGCAGTTGGCACGCGACTTCGTCCTCAAGACTAGGAGGAGAAAGGGTCTCGCGGAGGACGTCACGATCAGCAAGTTCTTGGAGCCGGAGCTCTTCCGCAGCTTGAAGGAGAGCGGCGTGCTCGATGGATAAGGGGATAGAGTATTGTAATATAAGCATTGGCGTCGGGCGCGTGCAAAAGTTATGCGCAAGATTTGGGATTGAATATACCCTGTCATACCCTTTCATGCTGTACTGCCCTGATGATATCTGTGTATGAGATATTTTCTGATTGATTTCAGAGCTAATTCCTTGATCAGTATTGATACTACGAGAGCAATGCATCCGAACTTTTACAGCGCTGACGCAATGACATAGGCGAGAGACACGCACTAGTATATCCTACGGTCTAACATAGCTTCATGTCATCGAGGACATCTCAACAGATCACTGTCTTATGTCGAATCCTGGCTTTTCTACCTCATTCTTCCTGGCCCTATCCCAGCGCTGTGTTGAACTTCGACTACAGACGACAGTTCAAACCTCAGTGGCCCGCCGCCTGCTTCTACCAATTCCGTGTTGACCTGTCTCACTATCCCACCGAGAAACATCTCGCTTTGTCCGTGCGGCGCATGCATTTCAGAAATGACTTCGCTGTCGAGTTCGAGATCCTTCTTCCCTTCCGAATCTAGTGTCTCGGGCGAGAAACTAGTCACCAACCCTTTCGCACCACTCCTCCGTCGCCAAAACCACCAACCAAGGCTCATCAAAAAGAGTGCCAGGATCACGATCCCTACTACAATTCCAATGATTGCACCTATCGGTAGTATTTCGCCGGTATAAGGATGCGGAGGCTTGAGGTCGCTTGTACCAATCTTCGGCAGAATCGTTACCAAGTCCGACTCTGGCATGGGCGACTTGAACACCGCTTGACTAATATTAAATTCTTCTCGCTCTGAGTCTACTGATAAGTAGATCTCCTGCATGAACACCCTACCAAGCGCGTATTGTGTTTCGTTTGCGGCGCGTCGGAGGGGGAAGTAAGCTGTTGGGGCAGCGAAGATTGGGTACTAAAGGCGTGGACGGGATATTAGCTCCACAGTCTCAGTATTGGATTATGCAAGGTGTCATACTACAGCATGTCAGTGGTGTCTCGATACAGGGTGATTACTAAATATAGACGGTCGGTACCTTTCGCTTTCAAGTCAAAAGCCGCATACGGTATTTCGATTATGATGATATCCCCGCCACTGGTTGAAACACCAATGGTAAAATTGAAAGATGGTGGTGCCGCTAGCAAAGCTGAATGTGCGGCGTTAGTCAAAACGTACCGATCAGCTGCCTCGAAGTACGTCAGTCCAAGTGCCAACGCGAAAGCATCGCAAACCGATGGTGGAAGCCAAAGTTCCGAAACGGCGGTGTCGATTGTTGCAATAATACCAGTAGCGAGTAGACTGTTGGTGGTTCCATTTGGCAAAGTCGACGTGATACCCTGAAGACCGACGATGATGTCGGATTCTGCTGACAGACGAAGAGTAGGACCAGAGATCCGAGAGCGGTCATAGCCACCAAGTACTAACGATCCAGGAACGTGTGTGAAGCCTACAAGCTTAATTCAACGTGCTCTTCTATTTCAATAATAGTCTAACACTCACGGTGGTACGCGCCAGCTTGGTATCCAAACGATAGACTGGGAATATGGCCTTTTTCCTTCAACTGATTTAAAAATGAGCGGGGCCGCACAGTGTCGCTAATGTTCATTGTGTGTGGCGACAAACCCAATACCCCGATCCACATGTCCGAAGTCGTGTATGCCATGATTGGATGGTTCTCCAAATTGACCGGATCGATCACACCACTCGTATCCAGACCAGCCGTGTCGTTTCCAAAGATACCGTTCCCATTGAGTCTGAAGACTTCACCTACGCCAATGCCGTAGACTCCTAGCTCGTGCCACGTCGTGGAGTTTTGTGGATGGAATCCATCACTAAGCTTCGACGCCCATACTTCAACGCCGCGGAGTTCGCCGCAGTCACTTATGTTGAAGCGTCCACAATCCTTGTCCAGAGGTAGATATAAAGTTTGCGCGCTGAGAGATGGTAGCACCTGGAATACCTGAGGCGGAGTGCCAACATGGACGTAGAATCTGTAGAATGTATCAGACACAAGGCTGAAGTGCAGTGTTGATGTCCAAAAAACGTACGATGACCAGTCACCATCGTTCCCTAGCCACCGACCAGAACTTTCTACCACGAGTGGATAGGCAAGGGGCTTAATGCTACTCATGGTTTGACACGATTTGTATAGCTTAGTGACTACCTATGGTGGTTCAGAGGTAGCAATGGGTCAAAGTTTCATCGATATTGCGGTTCGTGGTACAGATTCAGGTGTCGATTGAGTCACTGCCCAGCACAGCCTTCTGTTGCATCCATAAAGCTCTGCACTTGCCAAGATCCGGTGAACATAATCTGTAGGCAGGTACCTATTTCTGTGCGATTCTGGTCAATCAGGGGATCGGAATGCGTGACACCCATAATCATGATGTGAAAGCGTGGAGGACTTTGGCCCCGATATTGATTTGATGGCAAAATCCTGGCAGACTTGATTAACTTCTGCCTTTAGCCTAGAGTAAGTTGCCAGAACAGCGGGACACGATCACTGTAAGCTTATTATTTCCAGGCGTCATAAGAAGAACTATCGCAGGTATGGAGCTTATCCGCCATACACAGTTTCTCTTCTCAGCCTTGTTTGCTCCGTGCGACTGTGTAGAGTCCGACTAAGTATGCTGTCGACCAAGCTAATCCTGCTGTTCTTTGCTACTGCTTCGCTTCCTGGTACATCACACCCGCTTTTACAAAAACAGAATACTGACATCTGGTAGGAGTGTACACGCTCGATAGTCCAAAGGACACACCCTCTGAAGACATTCCCGCGTCAAACCACGATCTGGCTCTACGGGAGTCTGTAAACCAACAGCTTACTTGCATTTCTAGTTGCACATCAGCGAACCTAGACGTATCGGTGCAAGCCATATCCTTTCCAACGTCCAAGATTCTGTCCAGGCCACCTCGTTTCTCTTTTCGGTCATCAGAGGTTACGCTTACCCCATCACTTGCCCTGGGACCGGGTCCGGGCGCGTCCTCACCGCCCACATCTCTTTCCATACCTTCGCCGGAGATTTCAGATGCAACTTTCGTGACTGCAGCACCAAATCAGCCCTCCATTTTCCATGGAGAGCCAAACCAGGTGCTGGCATCGCCCGCACAACCATCAACACAACAGCAACTTCAAACCCCAATGTCTCCTGCCCCTACCTATTCATCTATATCGATTAAGTCACGTCTGCCATTTATTATTAGTGATCCAGTACCAGGCGGTCTACCTCCACATTTTCTCACTACATCTCCCTCTCCAGAGCTGGCTTTTCCCATGCCGCCTTCGTTCCCCGACAACCCATCGCCAAGTACATTGCTAGAGGAATCTCCAGCTGTGCCAAAACTAACGCAGTAAGTATCCGCACTCAATTGCAATATGAACACTAGTATTGATTGAGGCCGTATAGTGTTCCAACCCCACTGCCAAGAAGCTCACCGGGAGTGCTGCCAATTACTCTACTTGCGCCTACATTATCTTCTCCTACAGGCCCGTCTATGCCTGGTGTATCAGTAGTGCCTGGCGCGTCTGCAGTCATCATCCCTCTCACGCCCAGTGTGATTGTGCAGGTGCCGCAGCAACCGTTCGCGTTCACCACCATCACAGAAATGTACGACGGAACAACGACCGGTATATTTGTCGTTGCCACCCCATATCTTCCAGGCCAAACAGGCACCGTCATCGTCCGGATTCCGCAGACGCTTGCTGTAGATCTCAAATTCACAACCATCACGTCTGTCTACTCGGGAACGGATGTAGCTACTTTGACGGCAGCTACACCTAGTCTCTTGGGACAGGTCGGCACTGTAATTGTGCAGTTACCAGCGGGCTCCACCACACTCAGCTCACTACACCCTAGTTTAGCCTTGACGGCCGCGATTACCGCAGTTCCTAGTGCAGTTGACGAATTCGGCACTATCCGTGTTCAGATACCACAGCAATTTACTGCACTTACTTTATTGAGTACACCTGGAGCTTCACAGACTGTGGATCTCTCGCCTGGAAATTCTACCGTTGCGGGTACGATGAGCAGGCTTGGACTACTGTATACATCAAGCATTATGCCGCCGTTTATCGGTGGTGCGGGTCGAGAGGCGGTGATTGGTTGGCCATGGATACTTCTTGGCGTTGCTGGAATGGTACTCGCTTGGCTGTGAACTGCTGCCATTGTCATCGGTGATCGCGACAGCACGAAGTGATAGGAGCAGGTTCGCTTCGAGGGCATCAAGCAGTCTACTCAGAAATTCGAGAGATATTCGTGTTAGATTTATACACGAGTCAAGTGAAATATATACACGAAATGAGTTTAGAAAACACGACAGTGCCTATGCGTTGGCATAAGTGACACCAGCAGAAGTAAGTGCGTTGCCAGCAGCGTTGACAAGGTAGCTCTTTCCCTCAACATCCGGCGCAGCCATGTGGTATGCGTAGCGGTGGATCCACTCAGTCTGGTCCATCCCAGGGTAGTACCTCCTTCAGGAACGCATTGACATCACCCTGACCAGGGTTAATACCAAATTCAGTTACCCAGACAGGCTTGTTGAAGGTCTTGTGGAACTTGGTGAGGTAGTTCTTGAAGTCATCGACCTTGTCCCAGGCATAGTAGTGGGCGACGACGAAGTCGATCTGGCAGTCGCTGCAGCCTGCCATAAATTGCTTGAGGTAGTTGATGCCCTGTGTTGGGCTCGTCGGCGTTGGTGACGGAGGGCGAACCGATCTTCAGGCCTTTGCCCCGGAGAGGCTGGTCAATGAACTTCTTGTGTGCGGCAATTGCTTGGTCGACAGGCATGCCGGAGCCACCACCACTACTGATGTATTAGACATGTGGCGTCAAGATGTTCGAAAGGCGTCGTGACTTACCCAACCTGGTCTGGCTCGTTGAAGCTGAGGATATTTTGGACGTTGTACTTTGCGCGGGCGTTGGCAACGTTCTGTTCCCAGCCCTCGGTGCACCATTGCTGGTTGCTGTGTAGGAGAGGAACATATTCGAGGTCCGACCTTAGGGTGCCATCGATGACAGCCTCCCAGTCATACATCCAGCTGATGGAG